GGGCTTTTTTTGAGCGTTACCCATGTCTCCCCTTTCCGCAGGAGCAGCTGAGTTCTCCTCCCCTCCCACAGGCTGGCTGGGTTCAACCAGGAAAGCTGGAAGGGACAAGAGGGGAGGGAGAGACAGAGAGAAGGGGGGGCGGGCACACCCACCGGAAGGAGTCAGCAGTTACATCACAGTGGGGGAGGGTTGGACACAAAAGACACAGAGCCACTTCAAAAAGGGAGTTCCAGGAAGTGGTGACTCTCAACAGTGAATTACGAAAGTGATGGGTGGGGGCAGGGTGGATAACATGTATACATAGTATGTCTGTTACTCAGAGGGACAAGGGGAGTTTCCTCTATCTATAGCACAGCAGACAGAATGGGTTGAGTTGAAAATGACATGCTATTACAGCTACAGTGGGGACTAAATCAAGTACAAATATATATATGAAACTGCAATTTGGTTTAAAAATAGAGATAACATCACAAAATATTGACTATTGCTAATTGTTTTCAAGGCTCTAAATGGTCAGACCTCAACAGACTATCATTGAAAAGAGAGTCAAATCAACTGTGCATGTTGTGTTAAATATGGGATAGGGAACATTACCCTAATTTAAATCAATAATTAGATAGAAGTAAATTTTGGTGGTCACTGGTTGGTTTATAGTGTCTGTGTGTATGTAAATCAAGGACATAAATATTGATTATGAAGGTGTTACCTTCTGCTTTTGTCTCATCATTATTGTTGTCATCTTCTTCTTGAACTTCTTGGATGAGGATTTTTTTGCCTTTGCTTTTCTGCTCTTGCTGACTTCCCATGAGCTTCTCAGTTTCAGTCAGAAGTTGCTAAACCACAAATAATTCACAAACATTAGAATTTGTCAACAGTAGGAAACCAACCAGGTTCTGTTAAGTAAGTCAGCAAAGGTAACACACATATTTATACCACAGTAATCAATATACTGTAGTGCTGAACTATGGTGAATGGCTTGTGTGCCAATGTAAAAGGAACATCTTTTCCTCGTTCACTCACATTAAAATTACATAATATGGACATATAATCAATGTCCTAAAGATGATTATTAAAATAAACATATTCTGGGCTCTGACTCCCTCTAAATCGGGACTTTTGAAAAATTATTTTCTCTTTGCAATAATGACAGACTACATATGATTTTATCTATACCTTGAAGCAGCTGCAATATGTTTTCTAACACCCTGATCTCACACCAATACAGTGACACCTAGTGGGCAAAGGGCTACTGGCAATTAATCAACATGCCTCACTACTTCTATCACCTACTGTGGCTGCAGCATTGTGCGGCTCTTTCATAAGTACCATCCTCAGGTCTTCAACAGCCAGTTGGAAGTGGCCCGTGTGCTTGCGTAAAGTGGCGCGACGTAGCAGGGCTGATGATAAAACATACATCATATTCATGCATTACATGCATTTTTGTTATTGTAGGCTACAGTGTTTAAAGTAGCATGTGAAACATCAAAAAAATTACAAGATTACAGCAATATTTCTGTTTGCGAGCACTGTATTATTGTAATTAAAGTTATGTTAAAAAGAAAAGCACCTTTCATATTGCCTGGTTCCAGTTTGAGTACACTCTGGCAGTCCGTCATGGCATTGTGCCAGTGCTTGAGATTGATCTCTGCCTGGGCTCTGTTGTTGTATGCAGCCACAGTTGGTATAATGGAAAGGCTCCTATAATGGAAGGTCAAAAATAAAACAGACCTTTCTTTACAATGGACAAACACTTAGGTATAGTAAATGGGAATGAAGGATTGCAATCTAATTAAATGTCAGGGAAAATGATATATTCCCCTTAAGAGATGTAAAATGCTTTCTATAATAAATAAATAGTTTTTAGAATCTGACCTGGAATAATATGCAACTGCCTCCTCATAATCGTTTGATCTGAAAGCTTCATTGCCTTTCTCCTTTTCACGATTTGCCAGGAAGAGCTTCTCCTGTTGTGTCAGCACTGGATGTATTGTAAGACACCACACATTTCACACAGCCACACAACTGAAGTATACACAATGCTTTGCAATGACCACAAAATATGAGATTTTATACACAATACATTACATGAGGTGTCCACTTTTGTCCTGATTTTAGAATGTCCTGTGATTCTAATGGCTGGTGGATCATTTTTGACTACACTCCCATCAATCATTTCACATTCTCTTTCAACATCAAACCTGAAAATAGAATGAAATACATTTGGGTAAGGGATGATATTCTGCAAAATGATTATAAAGAACAGCTTCAACATTTTAACTGTGGATCATTTCAATTAAAGAAGCTTAGATAAGGCCTTTTTCCAAAGTAAAACTGTTGGGAACCTCTTGGGAATGTACAGTGCCTGCAGCTGCTGTAACAATGTGCTCTTTCTTCTGAATATACTAGACAAATGTAGAGACAAAATGACTCACTTGTCCCATTCTCGATAATCACGTGGGAGAGCGCATTTTGAAGAATTCCTCTTTTCTTTCGGTGAAGTCTGTCATGATATCACGTTTAATTTGACTATTTTTCTTGTATACATACAAGTACATGGTTAGGTACATCAATGGAGACAACTTTTACCTGACTAAGTGGAATGGAGCAATTGGAACCTCTTATAGGTGGCATATTTTCCTTCACTAGATCATCGAACATTGACTGCTGCTTCAGTGAAGTTTCAGTTTTTTTGGTTTCTTCTTGCCATGTCTGTAAAAAACAAAATATTTAATATCAAAATGCTTGCGACTAATTTCCCAAGAAACAGACATATAACACCAGAGCAAAAAGTAAGCAGGATTTATAAAAAAAAAAAAATACAACACAATGTGTAGCACACCTTCAACTCATCAACAATTTGGCTCCACTCATCTTTAGAGAGGCTGGCTGCTGTTGCAACAAGGTTTTCCTTCCTGAGGGCTGGGCTCCGAGGGTGCAGTTTGTCCAAGTGACTCTCACAGAACTTGATCAGTTGAGGATAAATGCCCTCGTCACCAGACCTTTACACAAAGTAAAACAATGTTTTCGGATAGCCCATATTTCTAGCAATAATGACAGTCAAGTTGATCAAACTGTACTGAGTTATGATGTACCCTATTAAGCTTTTGAAATTGGTTATAGTTTGTATATATTGTGACAATTATTTGTAAAGCTCATCAACACTAAAGAAATAGAACATTTGATCAACATGCAAAGAAGGGTCTGACTCCTCACACCTTAAGCTCATTTTTTGGCTGTTACCTCAGCACTTTCAAGATCTTCTCCAGGTATTTCACATCTTTACATTTTTCAATGTAATCATACTCCAGGTGCTCCACAGGGACCTTCCCAGTATAGCCAACGTCGCTGGACTGGTTTTGAAGAGAGAAAACTGCATCTGCACTCATGCCTGTGAAGAATTTCAGCTTACTCACTTACCATGTCAACCAGTGTTGCTCTGTTAATAACACACTTGCTACCTCCGAATGATATATAACTTCTGGTAGCTCACAAAAGTTAGCTAACCCACTGTTATTGCTAATTTAGACAGCGTTATCTCTATAGAATGTGAGTTATATGTTCGTATTTGTGCTCCTCTTTGCTGATGAGCTGTTAATGTCACCTTAAGTTGCAAATAAAATCTTAACATATGCTACTAAAGTTAAAAGAAATAACTTTACCTGCTGTTTGTTTGGCGAAACTCTCATCAGCGTTTAAGTCTGTTACTATGGTGACCACGCAGTGTAAGACCTGCTTGACGCCAAAGCGGAAGCACGTGACATGCTCAAACAGTAAGCTCCAAATTTGAAAACGTGTCTGGTCGGTGCCTGTAGACTAACATATAGGAAACAGAAATAACGACAAAGGTTGCGAGCTGAGGCCTAGAATTGAGCCTGAGCAAACAATATTGTGGTTGTATTAGCCCAATTTTGTCTAGAAGTAAGTATCTATCTATATATGAATTTTATAAATATGTGTTTTAAAGCTAATTATATTGTATTTTTTTTTGCAATTTACAACACAGCTAACGATACATCCTGTAAGTTACTACGTAGTGGCTTCAGGAAACTTACGTAGTTACATCATACTATGTTGTATGTAGTCCACACTTTTACTTGGTGTAAAATGATTTAATGAAAAATGAATCCTCCAAGAATGAACCTAATGACTCTTTGATAGTGTGTGTGACATTATACAGACAACTTAAGATAGACAATGCACCAATATGCAGTCAGATTTTTAGCTAGATACACAGGTGTTTTCACTTCATGCTAATTGCTGTAACAGTGGGACCTTGGGGATTCTTACAGCTTTAACCTTAGTCTTGAAAGCAGTTAACGGTAACAAGTTCTATTTTACATCCATTTTCAGATGCAGTTGAACACCATTGCTTCCTTTGTGCACGGTAATGTTATTATTTTTGTCCTCAAGGCACACTGACACGCTATTTTTCATACGTTATCTGGTGTTAGGTCAATGTAACTGGGAATGAGATGCTGTTGGTCCTCATGAATCCCCGGGGGTCTACTGCTAGCTTAGTCCGGGTAGGCTGTTTCTTCTTGGCGGCTATAGTTAACTTAATAGCGGCATCACGAAGAGCACATAGCTACAATTTAAATCGACAGCACGCGCTCTCATAGCAACGCTGACGACACAGCAGCTGATGTTTGGTGTTGAACCAGCTGAATTTGTGTTACACAAGCTGTTACCTATGTAAGCCGATAGCGACTGACCGACTAATTCAACATGTTTTATTACTTGGCTCATCTCCTGTATCAAAGTGAGTCCAAAATAACAGCACCTAATTAGAAATAACACTTAGCTTTGTTTTGTCATGTATACACCTTGTATTTCAAGTCATAATCTCTCATTTCCTGTCAGGCACTGTCCTGTGTCTTTTAATGTCATGTTTGTCAGTTGTCCTAGAGTAGTATTATTTACTACTATTTGTATTCTGCAGGTCATCTCAGCTCTTGGTGAAATCTGTGTTTGGGGCAAAGCTTGCACACAGGAGGAGGAAAATGCAGTACACTCCTGAATCCAATGTCTACCATGAGAGCTGCAAAGGGCAGAATTGTTATGAGGACTGCTGTGACAGTGGATACTCAGGTTTATTCCACAGTCCACTGAGCATCAGTGGAGTTGACTCCTCCAGGTCTTTGTCTCCTGTAGAATTCAATGAAACGCCTAAAGAGAACCTCAGACTTTCTGTCACACCTAAAAGAAGGACCAGAGAATCGGTCAGATTTTTGGACAAAGAATCCAGGGGTGTGCAGCAGCCATCATCAGTTAGCTGGTGTGAAACTCCTAAAGTATATAAAAGAGATGCCTCATTGCGACACAGACTTTTAATGTGCAAACACACCACAGATGTGAAAACTGACAACACAAGATCACCATGCACCAGAAGGACTGAATCCTCCATTAGTGCGAGTTCTGAACACTGGTTCAGTGCATCGTTTGACTCTCTAGACACTGTGATGGGGGCTTTAGCATCAAGCACTTTAAAACTGGAGCAGTACTTGCCATTATCTGGTAGGAAGAGTCGGCTCCTTTTCTCACAGGTGAGGACCTCCACTCTTGAGGATGGTAAACTCCACTCTGGTCTCCCCTCTAATTTTGAGAGAAGCGTTTCACTTTCAGATGCAGATTTCAGTGGGAGCATATCTGCCTTTGATCAAATTAATATTGAGACTCCACACTCTAGAAAATTCCTGCCTGTCACATGGAAGGAAAACTCTCTATCACCTGTCAGTGGTGTGACAAATGGCCTAAATGACAGCCTAAGCATGTTGTGTACACCATCATCCACACATACACCCAAGTGCATCAGGTATGTTTTTTTTTTTTTTTTTTTTTTTTTTTTTTTTTACATTTAACATTCAAAATTTTGTTTCCAAACTGAATTCTTGAAGAAGTAATGAATGAAATGTTATTTACAATAATCAGAAAACATGCCTCTATTAACTCACTACTACCCTTGCAACAGGTCTGTGTGTGAAGACAGTGGTTTCAGTTCCCTGACTGTCGAGAAATCCGAAGACTCCTCAGTGGACCATGATGGCTCATTCCAGGAGCTGCTGCTCTCTGCCTCCAGAAGAAACTGTGAAACTCCTAATCTGGTAGAGGCAAAGCGGCGCTCCCGTTTTCAGCGTCAGCACAGGCTTTCTACACTTAAAGAAGGGGGCTCTCAGTCTGAGGAAGACCCAACAGACAGAAAGGATCAACATCTTTATCAGTGCCACAGCCAATCTAAAGATGATGTTTTTACTGATTGTGCCACCCCTCGCAGTGGTCTCTCTACTAAATGTGGTAATAGCATGACCTCTGATGGTTCGGCCTATGCCAAACAAGACTATACCACCCCACTGAGAGCCACCATGGCCAAGCCAGAAAACATGACGCCATATAGCATAGCTCCTGCTAATCCAGATGTAACTCCTCTCACGACAACCCCAGTCAATCTCTCTCTGACTCCAGCTTTGCAGTTGGTTCATGCTATGTGCCAGCAGAAAGCCTACGTGTTTGCTGGCCAAAGTCCTAGCCTGAAGGAGCAGTTGAAGTCCACAGCAGAACTGGCTAAGACCCCGGTGACGTTCAGGACCACCATGCCATTGGCAGGACTGATTGGCAGGAAGATGGGCCTGGGGAAAATGGACATACTCACAGAGCTGAAGAAGAGGAGCCTCAGACACATCCTGGCTGTCATACTCAGCCACCTGACCTCTGAGGGTATCTACAGGTGAGGAGTTCATGTCAACAAACTTGGCTCTCATCACAGCTATACAAAGCAGAATTTTTATATTCAATATTTTTGTTGCATCTACTGTATAATTCAGCACACTCCTTACTTCTTAATTTCCCAGTTTGACATCGATTAAACCAACAATGATTATTGGTGACATAAGTTGTTCTACACAATCCTGGAATTCATACAACATATGATAGATGCTTATCTTAGACCAAAGTACAGGACATTACTATAGTCCAAATTATACATGTATGAAAATAAGTCATAAGTATGGGCTGAAAAGTATTGGTCTCATTCCTGCATTTGTTTGTTTGACAGGTGTGGTCGGGTGTGCAAAAGCTGGAATGAAATTATCCAACACAACAAGCAAGCCAATTTTAGGAGAAGAAACCACCTGAGTGAATTGAAGGCTACTCTTGAGGTAGGAGATTTGCTATATTAACCACTACTGGCTGACCAATGACAGTCCAGTCTCTTGTCATTATACCAGTGATAGACAGAAGGTAAAAACATCTGTACTCACATTAACTGTTGTGTGTGTGGTCCCAGCTCATGGAGACCAGTACAGCAGTAGTTTTCTGTCTGATTGGAATTAGTGTGACGTAACATTAGAGTTATTGTTTCACTTTCATCCAGTTTGACAATGTGGATGTCAAGTAATGGAGACTAATGGTTGAAATGACCTTCCAACTTTTTGCTGTTGTCTTATAGCTCGGTGGTGCTGTCCATGTCCCTGACGCAGAGACTAGACTGACTCTGCTCAAGAGGTCGGCCCTCAAGACGGTTCAGGCCCAGTCCAGGACCTCTAGCTACTGCACCCCGCAGTCAGCAAATAGCACTTTAATCCAATTACAGCACCGTGCTGCACATTCAGGCGGCAGCAGCAGCAAACGGGAGAAATTTCTAGAAGTGAGTTTTAAAACCATTACTCCAGATTTTCTAAAATATTTAAATGACTAATAAGTATTTGGACAGCTACACATGTTTTGTTCTTTAGGCTCTGTGCTTCAAAACATTCAATTTGAAATAAAATGATTGATACATGGTGTCAGCCATAACAGAACCACAGATGTTGGTATGCTTTGGGTCACGAGCTGTTCATTTCCACACAAATTCTACCAGTTTCTTTCTGTATGTTTTAGAGAACTGCAACCTGGCTTTTCTGTTTTTTGATAGCATCTTTTGGTGAATCATCTGAAGTTATTGTCATGAAATCTCCTCACAGTTGACAAAGAAACATGTACACTTACATCCTGGAGAGCATTCTAGATTTGCTGTGCAGTCTTGCCGTACATTTTTCTTTACCATGCAAGCGATTTTCTGCACATCCACAACATTTATGCTCCTCAATTTACCGAGTTGTTTGCCATTTTCCAATTTTCCTGTGCACACCTGCTTTTTTAGAACATACCCAACTGTTTATTTTGGCAAAACCAACTAACTTTAATATCTCTCTGAATGACGTTTTTTAAAATTATGTTCACTTGCAGAGTCGCCATTTTACTCCCTCAATCTAAATGTCAACTCTCAACCAGCTGTGTGAGCTCTTATGCATAAACAAACACTGATACAACACACAGGAACATTTATTAGCCAAGTGTTCAATTAACGTTGAAGCCTTGCAATCTGTGCACTGTGTTAAAGGGGCTGTATCTCACGCTCAATTCTTTCAATACTGTCAACTGAAAGCTGCCACTTGTCACTATAGTGCTGTGTCAGTTATTTTATTTTGAATTCAGTGTGCTGAAGCACAGCCTGAAGAACAGAACACATGTAACTGTCCAAATACTGTTTGGATATATAATAGTTTACAATGTTGTCCTAATTGCTGCTCAGTGGAGGGTGAATAGAGTTTCTCTTTTGCCTTATTGAAGGTGAGGAAAGTTCAAATAAAACACTGACTTTTTCACTGATATTTCATACAACTTTTTCTCCTTTTTAGATTGCCAAAACGCTCTTCAATGATGAGTGCCTCAAGCCTTGCCCTCGATGTCAGCATCCTGCAAGGTGTCATTCGGTGAAAGGGGAAGGTGTGTGCAGCAGAGCTGATTGTGGTTTCCAGTTTTGCACATCCTGCTTCTGTGCTTTTCATGGCTCTAGAGAATGTGGCAGCCGGTCTGTAGGCCGTCGCAAAAATGACATAATTCTTCCAGGAAGTGCTCAAAGCAAGCGGAACGTGAGGAGGCTATGAGAACAAAGTGAACTGTTTCCCTGCTTGTGATGCCAAAGTCAACTTAGCATTATTTCTGAAAAACAAGGCTTGGCGACAAGGAAAATTATTTCTAGCTGATACATGAGAACAGCGTCTGTACTCATCATTTTGTCTCTGTGCATGTCTATCTACTGTATCTCCTCCCCTTTTTTTTTTCAATGCAATTCTTTCTTCTGTGTTTTTAATTATGAATTTGAAGGAAGGAATGTTGCTGTTGTACTTTTCCATGCACACTTAAGTGTACACAATGTTTTTTTTGAATTCCTCTGAGAGTTCCAACTTTTACCAATGTGTTTTTCAGATCAGTTTTAAATAAATGTGGTGATTTTTTATGTTTTTTACATATCTGTCATGTGTCTCATTTGTGATGGTCTCCATTGTAATCTGTACAAATTGATTTTTCAGTATTTGGCACCATCTAGTGGTATGTTCATACCTTGTCCTATTTGCAACAGCAATGTAGTTCTTTCATGACTTTCTATTAAGTTTAAGCAATCTCTAGACAGTAACGATAATGTAACGTTCGGGACTAATTTAGAATAAAGTAAGGTAGGTAAGGTAAAATAGGTTTCAAACTGCAAAAACTACAAACCTGTATTTGTTTGTCTGGTCTGCTCTAGTTAAACTTTTACTGCCCCCTGTGTTTTGAAAATGAGTCCACTTCCATAGCAACCTGCAGTGTGTCTGTAATTACACTGAGAGGTTTGTGGCTCGCCCTATGTAACTGCTTGGTTTGACTTTCTGGGCCCTAAGTTTCAGAATACTCTACAGGCATTTGTGTTTTTGTTTTTGAGGTGAACATGTGTGGAGTAGTTTCAACAGGTAAGAGAAATTTCAATTTACTTTTTTTTTTGGGGGGGGGGGGTTGAACTAATGTTGGTTTGCTAACTTACTTTAAGTTTTTCTTTCTTTTTTAAGAGTTTCCACATCTCACCGCTGGTAAATTGGTGAGTACAAGTTTTAATTGACGCTTCATAACCTCATAAATTCTGTAACATTGGGTTGGGGTTGGCAGAATTTCTATACCGTGACTGTTTCAGCGCTCAATTTTTATTTCCATACAGGAACACGCACTGGCCTCTGATGATGTGCTGGCTCACTTCTTCAATGACTTCTTAAGTCTGCCGGTAAAGTAGTCCTAATGTATACATGCAGCATATTTAAAAAAACAAAAAACAAAAAAAAAAAACCCTTCTTATACCCCAACATCTTTTCCCAGTCTTTCTCAGAGGCTTTGCAGTACAACCAGGAGACAGGGCTGTTTGAGGTGGTGAGTGGGGCAGCTGAATCTATCTGCAGAAGAAAGAGAACAGTCCTGCACTGCAGCAAATCACAACTACTTACCAGTAACCCCACAGTGCTGACCAGAACTCCTCCTGTAGACAACCATTACACTGTTTATGTAAGCAGTGAATAATTCATTTTTTTGAAAATCAATAGTTGAATATATTTGGTTTTGATGATGGGCAGATGTCTGTGCTGTAGTTTTAGAGGGTTGACTTGAGGTATCTGTCTCCCTGACCTTTGCAGTGTCTGGACAGAGAACAAGGAATTCAGTGGATCATGGAGGAAAGATTCCCCTTTTTCCTTCAAAGTGATTACTACATTGAATACAGGTACGTGAGTGCGAGTCAGTTTGTTTTTGGACCTACCATTCATACAAAACAAATGTAGTTTTACCTTCTATATTGTACATAGATTTAGATCATTTTATGTTGTTTATGTCATGTAGATACTATAACTTCTGTCATTCAGCTCTGCAAGAGCCTTGAGAAATGCTTACCCACTGGCCTATATTTTAAAGATGATATGCTTCAGTTAGCTGTGACACATATTGTGATCATCATTTTCAAAGACTGCTTTTGTCAGTGATTATGAAGTCTTATACTCAGTACAGTATGGTTATTGTTATAGGACGCCTTGTAATTGTGTTTTAAGATTGTTGCCCTACGTTCTTTTAGTCCACCTAATTCCTTATGCATCTAGTGACAGGCATTAGAAACACATCCCTGTACAGATCAGATGACTGACTGACCTATGCTAACTTGCAACCTACACATGGAAGCAATGAAAGAGAAATAGCAATAACCTAATTTGTTCATTCCATATTTTTATTAATGTGCAATAATTATGTGATGCTTTCAGAAAAATGTGTGCTTGTGTATTCTGTGAATGGTGGTGTATCAGTTCTCTCTGGTCTTTCCCAGACTTGCCAAGTTGTTGTTTCAGTGGGACCCCCACCTCTGTATCCAGAGAAGGAAAAGAAGCTCAAGCCGAACCACCAACTTCACATATCAACCCTCTGGCCAGAGGGAACATATCAATGCAGAATGCATGGAATCATCCAGATGTTTCTCCAGCTGTTCTGAGCCAGACAACCCTTGTACCTTTTCCTCTTTTCCCTCCTCATATTCCTCCTGCTCCTCCAACCTGCCATCAGCTGGCAACTCAGAGAGGCAACATCTCCAAGAGTCCAGCGGCCGGGATTTTGAGTCTTCACAACTACAGCTGGAGTACCTGGCTGCTGGAGTGGTTAAACAGGTGCTCAACAATGCCCTGAAAGTAATGGATCATCAGAGACAGCAAAACATTTCTGGCTGTTTCAGCAAGTCAGTAGACCAGACACATTGTACCAGCACAGATAAACCCTGTGAATGTAAAGTTTGCCAACATTCACCTAATGGAGGCAGAGAAAGACTGGAGGGGAAGAAAGAGAAAGTTCAAGAAGGCAAAAGGAGGAGTAGGGACACAGACCATGAAAATGTCCCTGATATTTGTTGCCATGGTAGCTGTTGCCAGGGCAATAGACCAGGCTTGGATGCGTTCAAGGAGTTTCTGCGGGGAACGCCAGGGGAAAAGCTAATTAATCTCTGGATGGATATAGAAAAACTGAAAGCTACACAGCACAGAGAGCGGAAGAACAGGTGAACATCAACTTGGTCTTTTTTTACCATTCAAAAGCCAGCGGATGTTTTGCAAGCATGGTTTGATGCAGAGGTCAGAGTGGCAACAGCAACTACAAAAACAAATACAATGTTTGTATTTTAAAAGATATAATGAAAATAAAAGTATCAAATATGATTTAATGTGGTATTTATTTTCCAGGTACTTGGTCCTGATGAGGAGCCGGTACCTGCTGAGCAGCAGTCAGAGCAGCCTGAACACAGAGCTGCTCTCCAGACTGGAACTGAAGACCTCCCCCTGCTGGACAGAAGAGAAACTGTGTTCAGTTCAGCCCTGCCTCACTGAGGCTCTGCTCTACTACTGGTGAGAGTCACATTTAACTGTATTAAACTTCCTAATGTCTGTGAAAGTGAAAGACCACTTTCCCCATTGACATTAATGGGAAATTCAAGTGGTGTCAGACTTTTGGACCCATCTGTATGTATATGTATATATACATGTGGGATAAATTAAAGGAAAACAGACCAACTGTGTTAGTGATGTGACGTTCCACCATGAGCCTCCAGAACAAACCAGTGCCCCTTGTCATGAATACATAAAGTGTACTGTACTCTACACTTCCAAAGGACAGTTCCTCATTTGGTGTTTTGCTGATGGTGGTAAACGTCACTGCACAATTTCCTTTAGGTTTATCACCACATAGTTTACTTTCAGTTTAGTTTATTTGCACAGAAGTTACAGTAAAATATTACATTGTAAAAAAAGATATATTAATTGTGCAGGAGAGGAAGGAAGCCCAGAGTCGTCCTCTTCATTTCAACAAGTCATTAAAAACATACTACATAAAGCAATACAACATCAAATAGACAAAAGAGGACCCCTAAAATCCCCTAAAGATCCCCTAGAAACCTCCTGAAGAACAACTAGGACCTTGTAAAAGACCACAACAACTTCCAAAAGACACCTGCAATCTCCTTAATGACCACCAGAATCTCCTAAAGACCCACTAGAAACCCTCTGAAGGACTACTGGGACCTCTTAAAGCACCACTAAAACTTCCAAGACGGCTTTGAAGCTGGACCTCTAAAACCTTCTCATTGACCGTTAAACCTTCCAAAACTACATGTAGAATCTTCTCAATGATCATTACAACGTCCAAAAGATCTCTAGAAACTCTTAGAGGACATCTAGGACTTCACTGGCCACTACAACCTTAAAAGACTTCCATAACCTCCTAAAGGACCCCTAGACCCTTCTTAAAACCACTGACCACTAAAACCATCCCTAGAACCTCTTCAATGACCACTATATGCCCAAAGCTTTATATAGATAAATATCATTTGTAATATTCTCTCTTCATCCCCCACAGGGCCCCACGGTTCTGGAAGTCTCAGTGTGTTCATGAAGACCATGATGACACCTCTAATGTGGGGCTGTGGTGGTGGAATAGCTGTCCATCAGGGAGACAACTCCACCTTGACTCTTTAACCCTGCCTCCCCTCGTCCCTGACACCCGCTTGTCTCGAGCCTCCCATACTGTTTCTTCACAGGTAGGCACAGTGGGTGGATGCGATAGGTCTGGGTGAAAAAAGGTTTGAAGGTGGGAAGCAGCTTGTGATATGAAGCAAAAATACAACACAAAAAAAAACTGGTATCAAATACCATACTGTAAGTCATTTATCATACTAAAATGCTAAACATTCAATTCTAGCTTCTCCTATATGAGAACTTGCTTCACTTCTTTGTTTTATATCATTACAATTCAAGTATCTTTGAATTTTGGACTCTAGCAATAACAAGCAGTAAGATATCACCTTGGGTTTTGTGAAATTTGAATTTTTCACTTTTTTTTGCGCATTGTAGGAGCTCAGTGGTGAATTGTTGAAAGATAATTGTCCAATTAATAAATAATGAAACTAATCATGAGTTGTAGCCCTAGATTAAAGTTTTCTTTTTACATAAATTATTTTGGTGATTGTATTAAAAGTTTTCCTGTCTTTGTCTGTACTTCATCAGTTCTGCTCTGGCAGAAGTCAGTTTCTGGAAGGCAGGAGGATGGAAAAGATGTTACAGGCTCTCAGTGTAGACTCACGTGCCGGCTTGTACTTCACACACTTCTGTGTACAATCTGGAAATCAGGTACAACGAGAACTATTGGATTTTAATGCACTAAATTCCACATTAAGTCTGCATAGTCCATCACATTCAATTATGGCTGTTATACATCCAAGATAGTGGATAACATCTTTGTAATCACAATGTTGAGCAGTTCAGTCAAAACACTGTTGTTCCAATGTCCTGTCTCAGCTTTGGGAGAATGCAGTTTACTTCTGGACTGATCTGCGGCACTACCATGAGCTGTTCTACCAGGATGGGATGGACCCGTACAGAGTACAGAGAGAGGCACAGGTCAGTACACACACACACACACACACACACACACACACACACACACACACACACACACACACACACACACACACACACACACAGATTTCACTGGAGAATTTTCTACATTCATCTCACACTGCCTTCTGGCGCAGACCTGGAGGGGACTGGCTCTCTCAGTGCAAATTTTGGTGACCTCTCCAATTATATTAAGCTGGCTGCGAGGAATCTAGGGGTAATATTTGATGCCAACCTGAGCTTTGACAACCAAGTCAAACATGTGGTTCAATCTTTTTTTTTCCCAGCTCAGAGATCAGTTCCAAAATTAGATCATTTTTATGAATCACTGACCTACAAAAAGTTATACATGTTTTTAGTTCTTCTTGGCTTGATTACCCCAACATACTTTATCCAGGTATCAGCCAGGCCTCCATCCACTGTCTTCAGCTCGTGCAAAATGCTGCTGCTCGTTTTATTGCTGGAACTAACAGGTACAATCACATGACTCCGGTGCTTGCCTCCCTTCATTGGCTCCCTGTTAGATTTCGGATTGATTTTAAAATTTTATTACTGACTTTCAAGCCTTAAATGGCTCTGCCCCCAATTACATCTCTGATTTATTGACATGGTATATGCCCAACCGAGAATTGAGATCGGCGGATGGAGGTCTGCTGGTCCTCCCAAGGTCAAGGCTTGTGACTAAGGGTGACTGGACGTTTGATATTAGAGCCCCGACACCCTGGAAATCTCTTCTGATTCAAATCAGGCGTTGACTGGCGTAACTCTTTATCTTCCTTTAAATCTTCTTAATACAGATTTCTTTGTCTTAGCTTTTGGTAATGTCAGATTCATGTTTTATTTTTTATTTTTATCCCTTATTATTGTTTTTACATATTTTATTGCTGTCAGATCTTTTTGCATAATGTTGATTTAGATGTTTTTTATTATGCTGTCTTACACTTCTTATGTTGCTCACTTTGTTTTTTTCTTCTATCTGGTTTTACTTTTCTTTACTTTTCTTAAAGCACTTTGTAACTTTGTTAAGAAAAGTGCTATATAAATAAAATTATTATTATTATTATAAAAATACTTAATTAACTACCGACTCAGATGTTAAGTTAGTGACCTAAGGTGATATTAACTAAACTAATCTCAGTAGCTATTTAACACATATTGGAAGTATGAGCAAATTAATAATATTAGAAAATGTAAATAAAGGAGAGGGAAGCATCTTTGTCTACAAAACAATAATCCCTGAAAGCAAAGTATTTTCTCTATTTTACACATACATGAAATGCATAGCGGGTTGTGATTTTTTTTTTATTATGCCTTTTTACTGTTTCAATTTGAGACTGAGTGCATTGATGTCTATAGAGATGAGTTCAGGCTGGTTCAGCAGATAGTTTCTGGTAACTTGGTGCATCTGTGGGTTTTTCCTGTCATAAAACACTCGTCTCAGGATAACTTCATTTTCATTTAGCCAAAACATAGCAACACACTATTTCAGATAATAAATTGTTCATGATTTCATGAATTTTTCTTAAGTTTCTTCAAGTCTCACTGAAGCCATCTGTACAATATCAAACTAATTTCAAGTAATAAAAAATAGTTATATTCATGTAACTCATGTTTCTTTATGGGGAAAAGAAGTTGTAGCCAATTTAAAACTTAAATGAAGATACTTAATACAGAGGAACACAATATCCAGAGTGATAAAGAGGCCGCCTTTAGAGAGGACGCCAGGCAAAATGATGAATCACAACAAATTAAAAAACAGAGCAAATGTCTTAAAATGTAATCAAAAAGGTAATGAAACAGATATTGAGTGTAACATTTCGTTACCCTTGTGCACACACATACACACCTGACCTTTTTGCCTACTCTCTTGGCCTGTCATTCCCTTTGTCCCCGCGGCTTCTCTCCACCCTCTTTACCCGTCACTAAGTGGGGAGATTTAAACCCCCATAAAAACAAGTGAGTCAGACCCCCCTCCCGTCCAGGTCTGCGCCAGTCCACTCACCCAGAACCACCCTGTCTGGCTACAGCTGGACCAGGGAGGAAAGTAAAGCGGTATGGTCCAGAATACCGCACAGTGAAATTTATTTTCCTTCAGTTAACCTTTAGTTCACTAGAGGAATGAAATTTAGAAGATGTTTCCATAGTGTCGTGGCCAACAGGGTTAAAAGACTGACATTTATGTGGTGTGATGCAGCAGTGATGACAGATAGTGAATATTGTGTATGAGAGCACTGAACAATGGTGATGATGAAAGTGATGGCAGTACTGAGGAGAAATGTTTCTGAAGTGATGACATATTCCTCTCCTCTCCTCTCCTCTCCTCTCCTCAGCTCCTATACTCCACATATCTGTACACCTCTGCTAGAAGGAGCGTTGGTGTGGATGAGGAGATCAGGAGGAAGGTGTACAACAGACTAATGCCGGCTTTTGAGGAGCTGTTTGACGAGGTTGAGGAACACACCCTGAACATCCTGCTGCAGCCATGGACACTGCTGGTAGGCAGGGATGAAGAGTCCTTCCAGAAGGTAACCACAAATGACAAATTACTTCAACTATCATTAAAATACTTTGTCAGTTTTCTTTTAATTAATCAACTAATCATTGCAGTTATGAGTGGCTTTATGTCTGTGTGTTTCTAGGTGTGTGTGCAGGAGGAGGTCCACAGGGTTGAAAGTCAGGAGTACACTGAACTCCAGAGTGTGTATGAGGAATCAGAGCACCGACTGAAACAGGTCAGGTCACACAGCATCAATGAATACCACAGACTTTTAAAATGTTGGTGCGCTGTTACCCGCCAATAAACACACACCTGTGAACATAGCTAATGTAAAAATTAATGTGAAAATGGTTTCTTTCCAGTGTTTATGTATTGCTTAGTAACACTGTTGATAATCTGCTGTTCCAAGCCTGTATTACTTGGCATGAACATCCCGTTTACAATGGTGTCATACTGCTGTTATATAGAAGAAATGATCCATGTGACTTTAGAGCATCTACGAGGCAGTATTAGGTATGAGGTGATGTGGAAAAATCACTGTTAAGAGTTTTGAACCACACCTGTTTTTATGCCTCTGCTCCGGTGACAGCCAGAGATTGTTGTCCGTCTGTCCGTCCCTCCATCCGTCCCATTCTCGTGGACACAATATCTCAGAAACGCCTCAACGGAACTTCTTGAAATTTGGCACAAACATTCACTAGGACTCAAGGATGATTAGATTTTGGTGGTCAAAGGTCAAAGTGACACGCAATATCGCCAGAACTCTTCAAGGGAATCCTTTCAAATTTGGTACAAATATTCACTCGGACTCTGGACGAACTGATTAGACTTTGGTGAAAAAAGGTCAAAGGTCACAATGACCTCAGGAAACACTTAAGACTTCACACAACAATTATGACCAAATTTTATACAAATGGTTCATTTTTTGTGTGATTCTGGTTAAACAGGGATGTGACCTGAATCTGAGGGGTGGAGGCAGAAAACAGCAAGGCAGTAATTCTAGTTCTTTCTTGTTTTTTATGCCACCTCTTTTTTTATTTCTCTGGCTCCTCTTGCTGTATCTCCCCTGCAGGTGCAGCAGTCTGGGTCCATACTATCTCCCTCTCCTATTGCTTCTTCTACTCCCTCCTCAAAGGGCCTCCAAGCACCTATCTCTTGGTCCAGTGCGTCTCCAAATTACCAAGGTTACCGTCTAGGTTCCTTACTTCGTCATCGCCACGAGATTCGGCACTTTATGTCTTTCCTCCAGAATCAGGATGCCAGGTAACCTCTGTAACTCAGATAGCTTTATCATCAGACTTTTATTTTTAACAATATGCCCCCACACCAACATATGCACAGTATATTCACAGCAATATATTATATATGAGTATAAAAGGGGCTAGATGTATACAATACATTGCACTGAAGTTTATGTGAAAGTAACACGTGTGTTCTGAACATGTGTTTCTGCACAGTGTTCATCTGACATGTTGGCTGGATTTGGAGCAGTACAGGAGGACTCCTCAGCGGGACAAGGCTGTCAAACAAGAGAGGTCCTCTCACATTGCAACCAAATACCTCAACAGGAAGTACTTCTTTGGTCCTGACAGCCCTGCCTCCACACAACAACAGAATGATGTATGTCAATTACATATTTTGAAAACCAGTATGTTCATCAGTATGTTTTTAGCAATTGTACCCATTTTGGTGTTGTCTCCACTGAGTTTGAAATATTGTGAAGATTGTTACAACATGGCAATCCAAAGATGAGATGTGAGCTCCAGTTGTGGCTGAGCATTCACAAGTGATAAACAGAGGCTGCTGTGGCTCTCACACTATTTCTGCAGACTTCACGCTGACAGCTCTGACAGCAGGGTGTCGTTAGGGAACAGGGATGAGAAGACATGGTTAGAATTAAAAGGAGGAGCAGAAGAGGAGTGTGGTTTGGATCCAGGGATGACAAAGAAGATCTGCTCTTGTAACAATGACACTAGGATGAAATCTCTCCTGACATTTATAGTCTGAGATTAGGTTTCTGAGATTCTAGGGTTACTGCAGGAGGTCATGGTGTGTGAAAGTAGGATGAGTAGATGGGACAGGCAGCGGTGAACCTAATTGTCCTTTTTTGGACACTAAAGATAGCTGTGGTTATTACACTGTCATAGCAAACAGTGTTATTTTATATGTGTTACAGGACTGTGGTTCCCCTCAGCCTTGTCAGATAAACTCAAGCACCCCTTCACTGACACTACTGCATGTTCCAAATGTGTTCATTTAAAATGGTTTTAATTTTAGTAATTATATTGAGCAATAATGTTTTCATAATGTTGCACTAACAGTTTGTTTGGTCGTTTGCACTTGGAATGGCTGAAGCTGGACGTTCTACCATTTACATTTAGCTGATACATTCAGCTCCAGCTAGCAGCTGTTTATTCATTACTTTTAGCTAATACCAACTGTTAATCCATTGCTTCCAGCTAGCAGTAACAGTTTCAACTGTTTATTTAATGCTTCATTATTCCAGCCATTTCTGTATTACTTTTAGCTCTATTTCCACATTCATGCAGTACTAGATTGATAATGCAGCAGGTAGTGTTCCCTATTGTTTTCAAATTAGCTGAGCTATTCTACAATTTCTCAGGCAACCAGAAGTACAAGCGCCCCTGGAATCACTCTTACATGACATATTAAATAATAATGGCCATTGATTAACCCTGATTTTAGGATGTTCTTGTGGCTTACTTGGTTAAGAGAGAGACACTCAGTGTACTTGTTGACATGAATTCAACTCTGGTGCATGACCTTTGTCATTTGTTATCCTCATCTCATAAATACCATCAAAATAATCACTATAACTATGCATTTGAACGAGAATGCCAATTTTAGTGCTTCTAACTGTGTAGGATCGGATCTGGCTGCTGCCATTCCATCTCAGCGTTGGTTCTTGTCTGCGTGAGCAATGTAGAGACTGACAGCTTTACTGCTTTGGCCCTTCACTCTTTCAATCACTCAGTCATCCAGACACAGATTGGCCTCCTTTCATCTACTGACTCCCACTCCAGTGCCATGACTGGTTCTCATTTCTGGAGCCGGCGTGTGAGTGAGTGTGTGCATGCATGCCTGTGTGCGTGCAAAATGAGATGAGAGAAAATATAAAGGAGATATAAACAGGGAGACACGGCCAGATCGATGTATGAAGACAGAAAGCAGACAGGGAAGATGAAGAGAACGCATGGATTGTGGGAATGATGAAGAGCACAGCAGGAATCAGGAAGGAGTTTTCAGTTGGGCTTCCCACTGCGGGCAGTTTTTCTCTGAATTTGTCCACCACCTCATGTGCTTCATGTGGTTTCATAGAAATCTTTAGACATGTACACTCGTCAGCCTCGCAGACATTCTGTAGCATTCATATCAAACACATGGACACACATGTGACCATCGGCAGGCATCTGCTGTGGGTGTGTCTGTCTGTGTCTCTGTGTCTGTGTGTCTCTGTGTCTGTGTGTCTCTGTGTCTGTCTGTGTGTCTTTGTGTCTGTGTGTGTGTGTCTCTGTGTCTGTGTGTGTGTGTCTCTGTGTCTGTAGATAATGCATCTGGCAGGTGGACTGGAGCGTCTGAAGTTGGAGTGTCTGTCAAATGTGGTTGTTGTGGAGATCCAGGACATCGTCAGGCATCACATTGAGAAAACATGGCTGCCTCAGTTTCTGTCCACAGCAGAGTTCACAGAGCGACAGAAACACAAACCAAAGGTAGATGTCCCGATTTTTGTCACTTTTATTGTATTTATAGAGGGTATCAGTTAAAATGCAACCATTTGGCTATAGCTGGTTACACTAGAGGTCCACAGCCTTGGACAACTATGGCTGTTAACAGCTGGTGTCATTATTAAGTTTACAGATGTTGGAATCAGAACAAACGTTACTTTAAGTACTTTAATTTCACTATGGAAATATTATTTTTATCCAAACAAACAGTAAAATAGTTTTTAGCCAAGCCAGCAGCATCTGTTGGTCGGTCAGTCCAGGACTTTTCTCCTGACTGAAATTTCTCAACTATTGGATGGATTTCTACAATCGTTTGTATAGATATTCATGGTCCCCAGAGGAAAAAGTCTACCGACTTCAATGATCCTCTGACCTGAAGGCCAAAGTTTTCACTTATCCTGAGAAACATCTCAGCATCTATTTAATGGGTTGGCACCAAATTTTGTACAGACATCCGTGGTTCCCTGACAGAGTATCCTAATGACTTTTCCTCTAGAAGCACCAGCAGATTGACATTTGTGGTTTAGAGTGAATTACCTCAATAATTTTGGGAGGGATTGTCATTAAATTTGATATAAATATTCATGTTCCCCTCATTCATTGTAGTTACTTTTGGTAATTACAATGAATTCCTCAACTTTTCCATCAACATGTCATGTCATGTCAACATGTTTTATTCACTCAACACTAATTAATAAATGTTAGCATGCTAACATGCTAAACTCATTACCTGCTATGTTAGCATTCTGAGCATGTAGCATGTTTATGTTAACATTTAGCTCAAAGTACAGCCACACAGAGTCACTAATGTGGCTGTAGACTCTCATGTTTATTCTCAGTCACATGTATCCAGGTTACTGACACAGCTGTGAAGCTTCTGTAACAGGAGTCATCAGTAAATATCCTTAATATCAAAATAATTAGTGGTCATACACACCCAAGACAGATATAGAATTATTTGATGCTTTAAAGCAATGACCTTCAGGTTTTTTTTTGTTCTTGCTTGTTTACGTCCATTAATGATAGTTTTGGCTACTGCATAAATATTCTCAGCCTTTCTATATTTAACACATGCATGAAGTTAATTATGTTGGTTTGATCTGAAATGCATAACTCTGAGTTCCTAACTTGTGTAAGCTGTACTTGTGATAAGTACCACTGTTAGCATCAAAGCATTTGATCCCTGCTGTACAATGGCCTTGAGAGTGGACAGAGATAAGAAGTCAGACACATTAGCAGCTCTGCAATGTGAGAAACCACTAAACGCTGTCACTGTCCAGTGGCTCTCTCAGGTTGCCTCATCAAGTGGTAACACCAGAGATTCTGCTGCTGGGCCTCATTATGTTATCAAGTGTACTATGTTTGGTCACATGGATACTGTCATTAGGTAATGAGAGGTAGGTGTAGTTTAGCATTACACTCTGGAGGCAGAGATGTGTTGGAGGGTGGAAAATATGAAGACAAGGAAAGAGTTTGGGGTTGGGAGATGGACAAGACATCAGAGAGGTGAAGATTTCTCAAAGAGGAGCTCAGAGGAGTTAGATCAGAAGAAATGAAGACTGAGTGAAGGTTAAAGGTAAAAAAAGAAGCCAGTGCTTCAGTTACTGCCAATGACGGAGAGCAGCGTAGACCAGTGAGGTCTGAGAGGTGTTCAGTGAGCCTGTTAATCCTAGTTTATTCAGTTTCTGACTTTTGACCTTTGTGTGTGTGTTTCTGTGTGTGGTAGCCCCAAGCAGCAGACAGGCTCTCGCAGCACGTCTACTATCGACGCGGAACGAGAAGAAAAGCCTGGAAGGTAAGAAGAAATCCTCGGGGGACGCTGGATATTTTGAATTGAGAAAAATAAGGCATTTCCTGGCCTGAAAGCATGTGTGATTTAGTTCATGACTTGGCTTCAAGCACTGGCTTTGTCAAATACCATTTGGGCCTTGTGGTTGGTTTTCCCAAATTGGATCCAGGATAAATAAGATTAAAGCATCAGCATTACTAACCTTCTTTTAATAGTCTTTGGAGTGTTTTCCATGCAGCTCTGTTCCCGTCTCCTCATCTCAGCTCCACAGTAGAACGTAGATATAAACCATGAGCGTTTCACGTCTTAAGCAGGATGATTGCAGGAAGGAGTTTTCATACATGATTGTGACTATCATCTTTGTGATCATTATCTCATCATTGGCAAAGACCAGGTTTTCAGAATAAAGGAGGATCATTATCTCAGTTTTCTGTGAGCTAAGACTGTAGCTCAGAGGTCACAGATTCACTGCTGTTGTTCAAGAGCACACTCACTGGATCTTCTACTGCTCTATGTATAATGTTTTCTTGTTATATTTGCACCAGTAAGTAATAATACATTTTCATTCATTTATTTGGCGGGGGGGGGGGTTTATTTAACACCTTACTGTGTCCTTGAAAACCTCTGTCTCCTCTGTCTCGTCCACCTGCAGGCTGAGGGTTTATGGATGAGTTCTTCCAAAGAGATTCTCCTGTTTCGACAGATCTTACTCAACCCTGTCACCTGTCTGCAATTCCAGCACTTTGTCTCCCTGAAGGGAGACTTCCTGGAGAACGACATGCTCTTTTGGTTGGAGGTCCAGAGGTATAAGGTAAAAACAAAGTTAGATATTTGTTTTAAATTAAAATATTGTCTTTAATTTTATTCTCTTAATAAGGTTCTACCTTCCATTTCTCCTCTGTCACCTCTCCTCTTGTGTGAAGGACCTTTGTCACTCTCACAGCGACGAGGCCACCATCCAGCAGAAGATCTCCACCATCATCAACTGTTTTATCAATTCGTCCATGCCCCCCAGTCTGCAGATAGACATCCCTCCTGAGCAGGCCCAGCACATTCTGGAGAAACGCCACAAGCTCGGCCCTTACATCTTCAGAGAAGCACAGGTGGTGTGTGTATGTGTCTAAGAGAACGGTTTGCATTGTTTTTCCTGTTTGTGTGCTTCATGTGAATGTCTTTGTTCTGTTCATGTAGATGTCAGTGTTCAGTGAACTGCTGAAGGTTTGGCCTGAATTTCAAGAGCTGAGCAGCAGTGTCGAAGAGAAGCAACTCCTTCCTCTACTGCAGGAGAAACGAGTCAAACACAGAGCCAGAGTGAGAAGACAGAGGAGGAAAGAGGAAGAGGAGGAGGAGGTGGATGAGAGGAGGAGAGCCCAGGTGAGGAAACAAAGGAAAATAAATAAGACAGTTAAAAGAATGTGGTTATACAATTTCTTATATTACTGCAACATTAAAATCTCCATTCAACCTGATTTGTTGTGCAGGAAGAGCAGGAGTCAGACGAATCCAGTTGTAGAGAGGAGGAGGACATGGGCAATGTAGAAGAAGAACGAGAGGGGAGAAGTGGAAAAAAGCAGTGGAGGACACAGAGCAGAGTGCTGCCGTCTCCCACACAGCCGGTAAGCAGCACTCTGATGTTCCTCACTGGGAAACATGATGAAGGTAGAGCTGAAGATGTGTTTGTGTAAAATGTCTCATATGAAGAAAGTCAAACCAAATTAAATTATTTCATTTGGAAATCTGAAAGTTCAACATATTAAAATAAAAACTGCAGTGATGAAGATAAACTCGATTACAGCATGAAGGCCTCATCAGTTCCAACCACAGACTATGAAGGCAACTCTCTAACTGAACCGTTTTTCTAATCATGTTAGATTTGACTCGATTTCTGGATATTTTCCCTCAGCTGTCGTGGTCCTACTCCAAGTACATGGCAGCTCTGAAGAGGGAGGAGGTGCTGCTGAGGAAAAAGAGTCAGCTGGAAGCATCGTTCTCCACTGCCTCAGGTACACACACACACCTCCCTTTCTCTCCCAGGGCTCAGTGAAACTCCCATATCCAGCACTTTTGACTTTTAGAGTAGTAGTTACAGTAAATTCGGGAAACCATAACACTGAAATGATATTTAGTCGTTCCCACGGTAAAATCCAAGCTAAATTTCCAAGGCTGTGATATTACCTGGCAGTTGAAGCCAAAACATTGTCAACCCGACCCCCTCCACATGTCAGAGCTGTCTCATTATGTGGAACTCTGGCCAAAACAGCCACTTCAGCCTGTCTATTAAGTGTCAATATTCTGTGCAGGAGTTAGTCAGAGTCCACACTACATGGATATGGAAATGAAGTGTGGTGCTAAACATTAAGAATGAGTTTGAATGGAAATGAAGCAGAGTGAAAATAGTGTTTTAATGGGAAGGTATAGAAAAGAACTATTAACACAGAGGAGCACAGATGGAGCTCATCGCTGTTTCCTGGTGGAGACAAGCTCAGCCTGAGAGAACATGTATGACAGATACAGAGATAGAAGAAAGTCCACAGTTGAGGAGGGAGGTGTTTTCTACTTAACATTCAACTCATTAAGTGATCCATGTCTTTCTCTCCTCTCCAGACTCCTCCTCTTACTGCAGTGTCAACTCAGCAGGCAGCAAGCACAGCCACAGGCAGTCACATCGCTCCTCAACAGCAGACAGTAAACAGTGTCACAGATATAACAGTAAGTGAACAGTGCTTCGTCATCGGCCTGATGCAACACTTTGCCTCCAGAACCTAATTGACTCTCATGCTTTATTGCAGGAGGTTTAAGAGCCTGCAACATGAAATGAAACCAAAGCTCAGGGTGGCTGACAGCGACAAAGGTTGAGGCTGGGTTTATAGATGATGTAAGAATATTTTTCAAACCCAGTGTAACAAACACCTGCTGATTCTTACATCCATTTTGCTTCTGTATCAGTCCTAGCAGATGTCTGGATGGAACTGTTTTCACTGAGGTAAAGACAAATGTAATTAACCTTACTGGTATTTAGATTTCTTTTTGGACATAGTACACAATGATAGAATATCACTTAATATTTTTTATTAAAACATTTCTCTATTAATATCCATTTATATACACTGAAGGCAATAGACTTAAATTTTACATAGAACTCAGTGGTACAACAAATATAAAAGGCAACAATATGTTGGCATCAATGTAAGGAGTTTATCATCTATAAAAACATTTTGGTTGACAGCTGGTATCTTATCTCCATCAACATGTATATAATATTGCACTTAACATTGGCATGAGACAGTCTCTGAATGTAAACACCAAGAGCTTATTCTGCAGAGTGAAACCAATCTGAGTGACTCCTGGTTGTTGTGCATTTTTTATCTGCAACACTGAAGAGACTTCACACTGACTGAACAAGCCCTAATTTTGAGTTGACACAAATCTTATTTGTTTTAGTGTTAAATACAGTGTATGATCATTGAAATGTCTTAGCATAAGAAGTGTTTTAACTCATGTGTTTCTATGATTCTAAACCCACAGATTTTTTCTGTGTGGTTTGTTGTATCAGTAAAAAATATCTTTCAAAGGCAATTTATAAGAATTCCCTACATTCTAAGGCATGGATGGCCAGGTGGACTTAAAGTTAAATATAACAAACTATTATTTTTGCATAAATGGGTAGTTATCTTTTCAGATGTTTTTTTAAATTTAGATTGGAACAAAGGTCTGATCTTATGTAAATTTCAGAAAGCCACCAGTGTGTATCAGTGGAATCCGATGCGCAAGGCTTTATTCTTTACCATGTTGAACTTGCTGACAAACACCTTGGTGAAGGCGGGATCCACCACGTAGTGGTAAGACTTGGTGACAGAGGGCGGTGGCTCGGCAAGTGTCACCGGTGGCTGCAGCTGGAGGGAAGTAGCAGAGGGGGAGAGAAACTGGGAGGCTCTCGTCACGTAATCCACCAGCCGCCGATACTGCTGCTCTGACAGACGCTCACGAACACCGTCACCCTGAAGAACAACACACATATGATTACCATACTAATTCTACTGCAGGTGCTGTCCAATCATATGCCATCAAAGGACACATGATGAAGTGTTGTGTAAAAAGTATGTTGTCATGACGACAGCAGCTGATTGAACCTTCAATCTGACAAACTGGTGAAAAGAGCTGTACTACCGACATGTAAGAAGAATTTTATCATTCAAGTGCCTAAAGGGTTGTACTCATCCTCTGAGTGTGACATGGCATAAATATATTGATCTGGTAGTCTGCTGTGTTAATCACTGAAAAATATTCAAAATACTTGGCACATAATATACTGACAATCGTTGTTTACCACCATGTGACCTCTGTAGCTCCATTACTTTCAGAGTCTCACCTCTGTGTCACTGGTGACTGTCTGCTGCTGTAAGGTGAGGGTGAGCTGTCCTTGCTGTCCGGGCTCTTGCTGACACTCCACCTGCAGAGGACAGGAAATTTAACAATCAATTCACAGCCTGCACTTCAACACCACTAAAGAGATGTTCATTTGACTGTTACAGGAACTGTTTTCAGGCTGGTCAGGAGATTTCTGATGTGTGTGGAATGCCATTTTTCTTTTCCATTACCTCTGTGATGGGGAAGGCCTGCTGCTGTGTGTCCTCACTGAGACTGACCACAAACAGCACCTCGGAGGTGAGCAGCAGACAGCCGGCATGCTCCTGACCTGACCCACTCACAATGGTCACCTCCAGGGCCATGTGCAGCTCCGGTCGTCCCAGAGACTGAAGCATCTTCCTGTGGTCAGAGGAGAACAAGCAGGAAAGGATGTACATTATAAACAAGTTATGATATACACACACTATTTAGATGGACTGGATTGGAAAATTCAAACTTTACATACAATCAAATATTGAAAATAAGGCATTTGTAATTTTATGCTTAATCAACATGTAAACTGTAGGAAACAATCACATCACTTCACCCTGTGTGCATGGATTATGTGTACGTATAATTACACATAGTTAGACCTTTTAACTTCAGACATACACTTTCCCTATAAACACAAGACCACACAAAGTGTCAAACTAACCTCAGCACACACATACAAGTGACCATACGTGTCTGCATACATCCTGTAATTTACATTTTTGCATGTTCTCTGCATGGTTCCTATTACACATATGTCCAACAGGGAAATATGTGTGCAGGAAGTGAAGTGTTCAGTCATGTTCCTCTGACAGTTTGTTTACGTTGGAAGGCAGGTGCATTGCAGAGCAGATGTTGAAGCAGCCACAGTAGGGACAGTTTGGTTCTGCTCAGTGTTACTCAGCTCAAGTGTCTGGGCTACCTGCAGTAGTAAAAATAATTGATGGACGTCTGATGGAAACCAGTTTGACTGCAATGCAGCATGAATTAAACCACAGGGGAGCATTATCTCAGCATTCATGTATTTTTATCTTTTTTTCATCTTCCTCTAACGTTAGTAAAACACACTTCTAACCCCTCGGGTGACGACAACTAAAGTGGAATGTCCTGAATTAATATTGTATTTAAAATTTGGCCTTTCTCCTCATGGGACACTGACTGCTACTAGAAGTAAATGTTTGATAGCTATGGAAACCAAACTGTAGAAAATTCATTATAAATGCCTTTTCTATAGCTCCTGATAACCTTCTGGACACACAGGCCTCTATAAATTTTATGATATTAAGTGTTTCACTGTGAGAGCACACTGGAATCTCTGGTCTGTAGATACAGCTGCGCTTCAAGCCATTGTCTTTTTACGACACTGGACCCAAAGTTAACCTTCTGCTTGGCACAACATGTAACCTTTGTAAACTGAGTCTCTCCAAACCATTGCAACATACAAAGAAAGATGTTCCTGCTTCATCTGATGGCACATGGAAACATCTCTGGACAGACTCATAGTTAAATAACAAGAACAATTTCTAGCTGGCGGCTTTGGCAGAGTGCTTATAAAAACCTTTTAACATGGCTCGATGAGAACAAGGGAGGGCAGGCTGGCTACCATGTGTGGGATCAAGGTCAAACATCTTTCCAGACTTTTTTTGGGGGAAAGTGGGTAATAAACTCTCCAAGGTTATTTTAAACAAGACAGCAAAAATGAGGAGAGAGAACAGCAGATTCTGGAGTGAGTCCAACAACAGCAAAGGCAAGAACACATGTCCCATTTCTAAAGAAGACCCGGAGAAATGTAAAGAAGGAGCCTGCAGGCTTAATGAATGGTTCAGGCGTCATACCAGACATATTTAAGGTGGCTGTTCGGGGCCTGAGCCGACTTCTCCTCTATAGGCAGGTAGAGCTGTTTAGGAAGCTGCCACAGTCCTGCTCCATGAAGGATCCCTGTTCGGAGAGACAGTCAAGCATCAGTGCAACTATCAGGGACGTTTGTACATGCATTTAAATATGACGTCAAATCAATGAGACAAGCTGGTGCCATTCTGACTTAAATGTTAGCTGAACAATTACACAGTTTGCATTATTACAAAGTAAAATTCATAAAGAACACATGATTAGGCTGATTCTGTGTGTACATGTCAGAGTGAGTTCGTAACCCGTGTGCGTGTGGTCAGTTTTCCTTCATTCCACTTTAGCTGTCAGCAGAGCGGCAGCAGCAGCGAGCCAGTGAAGTCATCAAGTAGTTAAAACAGAGCCATAAAGAACACAGTGAGGTCCATTAATGATGTCACTGCACCGATACTCTGCAACAGTGTTCAGCTATGAGTGAGTGTTTGGGAGAGTGAATGTAGATATATCCATGTGTTTCATAAGAGAGGATGGAGTGTGACAGAATTACATCACAAATCAATGCAGTTGATCTCGCTGTATTAACATCAGATTGAGTTTTTTGTGTGCATGTTGTCAGAGTGAGTAGTGATGTCTGTTTCTGCTGAGGCTGCATGTGTATGCCTAAGATTGTGTTTGTGTGTGGAACAGATAAATCAGAGCCAGGTCCCCGGGGAGTCACTGCTCTTAAATGAAGCTGCTCACCTCGTTGGTAGTTCATGTGCTGTAGCCAAGACCTGTTAGCACCAACACACACCACCCTCTGACCCACTTCTCACCCCCACCCCCATCTTCTGGCCCCTATAAAAAACTAACTCCAGAGGCCATAACTGTGCATGTATGATTAGGCGCGCGCGTGTGTGTGTGTGACTCAGGGGGTCTTTCAGCAGCTCTCTCCTGTGTCTAAAGGCCTCTGTCTGAGGCCAAGAGGAAAAAAAAAGGTGAGATCGTCCACCCATTTATGATTTTCCTGTCACATTAAGTCTAATTCATGTGTTTATTAGACTATTGTTGCCTAACTCTCCTTGGAAAGTTTTACAAAATGGCAGTTATAATGTGTTAATGATGTGAAAGCTTGCATCTCTACATCACAGATTTTGCATTCATTTGAAAATGTAATTTAAATGACTTCATGTTGAATAGACAAACACATTTCAAACATGTTCAGTTTTCTGTGTTTGATGTTTCCCCACAAAATGATGGAGCTCGCTGACAGACACCAAAACAACAAACTATTGGTTAGTTTTCTATGGCCCCTGAGTTTTTTAACTAAAAGTTGGCGAGTTAATCGTGTCTGTGTTGTTCACAATGAGAATCATACTCTAATTTTCCCTACAGCACAGCTTCTGAAGCAAAACATGATGATCAACATCGTGTCATCCTCGACTCATCCTGAACTCACCGTATCCAGTCTGGGACACCAATTCAGCTGCTCCCCCGATAGGCTTGGTGAAAACACCCACAATGCCTTTCCCCACTCCAGAGATGACCCCTTTGGCCTTGCTACCAGCTGAGCTCTGTATCTCCCAGTTCCTCTGGAAGTTCTGCATGGGCTGGTCCACAATCCCTGCTATCGCTCCTGCAGAACACAGATAAACTCTTTGTCCTTTGTTGTTCTAATGTGCTTTGTTAATAAATATCTAATAAAAGGCTTTTACAATTACAAAACGCAACATGCACACAGAATTCAATTCATCTTTTGCAGATAACAAAGGGCCAAGGCAGTGATTCTGATTCAGTGAGACATGGGAAACAGAGTTTGACATACAGAATCCAAAGTGTCATATATAAAAAAAAAACAGGAATTCAGACATTCTTTTGCACTACAGAAAATATCTGACCATTCATTTTATGGATTACACAGATGTTGTGATTTACAGTGTATCTCAGAAATTATAATCCACTGTAACCCAGAGATGCGAGCAGCTGTTTGGTTTCAATGACAATATGCTCAGTGTGTTTGAGTGTGAGGGTTTTACTGCCCTCTGGGTGTTTATTGAGTCCCTGCTGTGCTGTCTCCACTGCTCCGTCTCACAGCTCTCTGTGACTGTGCACACCACAGTGTGTGTGCCTTTGGACAGTAGATGAAAGGTGTGTGGGCAGAACATGTTTCCATACATATCTAGCAACTTGATGCTGAGGCAAGAGAGATTATACTTTATATCAGGCTTGACTATAAAAACTAACATGACTAAACAAAAATATCAGTGCATTTATTGCTCACTTTATCCATAAGTCTTTCTTGGAATTCATTTATTGCTTGTAATGATTCTTTTTGTTGAAAGCCAACATTGTGATTGCATCCATTCTAATTTTCCAAAACCCTGGGAAACTAGTTTGTGAGAACAAAGTTCTATTGTTGTCCACTGTTTCTGACATTTGTGCCATTTCTCATCAAACGACTTATTCTGTGTGAGATAGTGTAGTTACTAATAAGATACTAATAGTGCGAGGTAAAAAACTGAGTTGCAGGACCAGGAAAACATTTGGGATTGTTCAACTAAATTCTGACATTTAGAGGGGTTGCCACATAAGTGTGAAAATATCCTTTTTTTTTATTGTGCTACAGTATTACTGATTAGCCATCACGAATGCAAATGATGCTATCATGAGAGGCCTCTATATGAGAATACCTAACAAGCTGATGCCGAGTCGTGACAGCCCTTGTCTCAGTCCGTCGCCGAGGTTCTCTGGGAGCTGTCGCCTCCACTCCTCCTGCCTGGTGTAGTGCTCCTCATCCAGAGACAGGCGGTCCATGTTCCTGGCCAGACTTGTTGCTAAGTTGGTGATGGACGTCAGGGTACCTGAACACAGATAAGCCATGTTCAAATTAAATGTTTACAGTGTCAGTTGTAAATGTCAGTTTACAGTGACATTGTGAACACTGCCAGTAAGTGGTGGGTGAAGGTCATTAGAGTACTCACAATACTCCAACGATCAGAGATTAAAAAAGGGAAGCTGTGTAAGTACATGGTTTTCAAAATGTATTTATTTGGAGATTAAGTGGTTGCTCAAGGATACTTTGAGGTAAGTCCTGTGATTCTTGAGCTGTTGGACATGAACTAGAGCATCTTCCCTACTCCTGCTCTGGACATTTACTTTCTTTAATTTGATTAATTTCATTACATGACTCAGTGTTTGTGCTAACTAACGTGCCATCACTGCGTGATGATGATCTAAATGGAAACTGTTTATCACATAATGCATGTACTGTTTGAATCTGGGAGACAATTTAAAGGAAAACTGTAAATTAATGTTTTAGTACATAAATCCAATAAATAAATAAACCAAACAAAGATTGTGAACGTTGGTGTTACCCTTTGAGATGTGTTTGACGAAGGAGGTGGTTCCTCTGGACACCCCACTGACAAAGGCTCCAGGTCCACGGGTCAGACCCTCATATGGCAGGCGGAAGAAGTCGGAAACGCCGTTACCGATGCTCCGCACAAGGCTGGCCGGACTGCCGAGGATCTCCAAAGACCCCACCACCCAACCTGAGACAGAGGAACAACAGGAGGTCAGACGGTTACATTTGTGTATAATAATACTACAGTACTGCAGCCAAATATCTTCACAATATGTCCATATATATTGGAACATATAGGAAAACTGTTTGATGTGATCAATATAATGCTGTGAGATTTCTTTTATATTCATTTATCGATAGTGTCATGAATATTTCTTTAACTCGTTCATGCTGACAAGCCACTAAGAAAAGGGAATAACATTCTGGAATGTAGTGGATCTCCATTTGCTCAATGCTATAAGATGTTTTAGTTGTTAAACAGCCTTCGTTCTGTTTTCTGGAGGAACTTCAACTTTAACTGTGTTGTTCTTGGAGGTAGCCATGTAAAACACCATGTACTCAACATACTGTATAATCCTACAATCATTTTTACACATCTGAAGTTAGTTTTGCATTTAACAGAAATAAAAAGGAAGACATCTGGAATGCCTGCTCTTAGGAGGAACATTAAACATACCAGCCATTTGAGTAAACTCCCTTTCATTATCTTCTATGAGCCAGAAACAGTTTGGAGTGAAGGCTCTCCCAATCAAAACAACTCACAGAATAACCACAGCTCCACAATAAAATGTTTTACATAATGATTACATGTTTAACACTGTGTTAATCGGAACAAAAAGGTTCACAAACACGTGCACAGATACACATATACACTTCTGCACACAGACATACACACTCCTGCATGTAATCACACATGTGCCACAGCGAGATTTACAGTCTCATACTATCTCACTTCTCTCATTCAGCCGTAGAGTCTCCTTCAGGTGGCACGGCTCATTGATATTTATGCGCTGACAATTGCATCACAAAAATCAAATAGCCATTTCTCAACGCTCTGTTCTTATTCCCTGTCAATTTGCTCTTGAGTGATGGACTCTAATGGTAGGTAACCAACTCCAGTGGGGCCAAGCGGTCGTTTCTGTTTTACATGGTCTCCCAGTTGTGGTTTGGGTAAAGCATAAAGTCCTGACAGGAGCTGATGTTTACAGGGCTGAGTCATGCTTTTAAATACACACATACACATGCACACACTGGAGTGTATGCGTAGACAGAGTAATATCCATATGTTTATAAGTCTTTGCATGTGCAGACCATGGATTTACGCCTGTGGGTGTATGTGTGGTTGTAGTACCATACATCCTAAAGCTAATCAGTCCCAGAATGCAATGCTTCCAGGAGTCTCTCTCCATGATGACTCAGGAAGAGGAGAACGTGGTGAGGTGATGTGTTGAAATACGAGCAGAAATGAGGGCTCTAACGAGAGACAGCGGGAAGGAAGCATCCGGCCAGAACGGTGATTTCTGATGTGGAAATGTCTGGGTTAAATCAGACCATGTGTGGAGCTTTTGACTACACAGGAGGACAATGCAGGAGAGAGGTATGGTGCCTTTATAGGGCCCGATAAGTCAGGCTTAGACCTGGTGGCCGTTTGCAGATTAACCATAACATCCTGCCTACACGCACAGTGTGAAGCATGAGTCAGACCTTACGATGAAACAGTAAATTATAGCAATGAGAGAATCTAAATCTTTTTTGGGGGCTTCCAGTCATTCAGGTTTTTGTTTTAGTTTTATTGCATTTTTGCCACAAAGCAACGGGAGCACCTGGAGCTCATGGGAGCAACCATTTCAAAAGTTCAACTCTGACTTAGTGAGAATAAATTATGGAATTTCTCACTCAAGCACAAATCCTGTTATTCTGTAAATAATGCGTATACAACATGATCGGACGAAACACACGCTGGCCTATAGAACCATTTGCTGTATAGGCTAATATGGTGGATATGGTACATTCTCTCTCTGTCCATGACCGACCTGCTCTGAAGAGGGCTCCGGCAGCATAGTGCATGGCCAGAGCGTGGACCAGCTGTCTGGCTGTGGTGCAGAGTGGCCCTCTCTCGAACAGAGAGAAGGAGAGAGGAGTGTGGTCTGAGGCGATGTACAGCTTCAGGGAAGCATGGATGCTGACCAGCAGGTTGACTGGCTGGATGGTCAGCTTCTGCAGCCGCACAGGGTTGACCAACGCCTGCATTGACTGAAGCACCTGGATGACATTAATATCACAATATTAACATTTTTCAGATCATCATTTATCCCTGTCCTTCATGGTATTATTTCATCATTACATGATGTGACGATGATGACATAAAGGTAAGTGTGTAAAACACAACAGTGATACTGTTACCTGTAGGTCTGTCCCAAGCTGAACATAGCACTGTGATTATAATATAATGAGAATGCAGTAACTAAATAAAGTGACTCATCAATTCCTACATAAAGACAACATGTTATGAATAGTGCACCTGTTCAGGGAGGACGGGGGCTGATCCAGGCTCTCTGCTCCTCTGGGTCTGTGCTATAGCTGAGGCAATAGCTCTGTCGGGGATGTAGGTGTAGAACAGGGTCTTAATGTAGTAAACGAAGGTGTCTTCAAGATAGACTCTGGCAGGCTGCAGCTGGAAGGTGACCTAAAGAGGATGCACACAAAGCTGTAATGAGAACTGAAAATTCATGATTGTTGAAGATGAAGAGAATAAACTGACTTGGACAATCAAGTAGATGACTGATTTCTGTAAACAGTTTCCAAGTTTGTAGAAATGATTATTTTTTTGTATTTCTTCTTATGTTTTGCATATAATGACATTCATTTATCTACATCTTGTATAGATTACCATTTGTTAAAACAGGAAGAGCATTCTTGTTTTGAGTTTCTTCTTTCACTTTTTTATGTTGGTTTTGTGTCAATGAAGCAATTCCTATGTGCTGAGTTATCCAGTATATTGAATGTAATTGACTTGGACAAACTGATACCAAGGCTCTGAAAAACTGTGAATTTCAGTGTCAAAAGAATTTAGTCTTTTTGAAACTAGCAAAATTGCAGTTGTAAGACAATTTACTGCTGAATTATTACACTGTGTTAAGCTTGTTATGTAAAACTTTATGGTGGCATGTGATTTGTAAGGTTTTTGCTCTGTAGCTATGTGGCTTATAGACTTTCTGGGTGCTGAGGTGATGCTAAAGAGCACTGCATGGTTGCTTGGGTACACTATGTGATTACTGGAGTTACAGAAGTAACAGTGCTTTTAGTAGCAGAACTGTGCTCATAAAATACAGAAAGCAAGAAAAATAAATAATTAACGGCAATGTTCAGGTTGTCAGAGTGACAGCAGCAGAGTCTACTGCAACAAAAGAAATGGAAATAAAAAAAGACGGAGGAATGAATCCAACCTCCTCCATGGTGCATTTGTCTCCAGCCAGCATCATCCTCAGCTGCAGAAAACAAGAGGATTTGAACTCCTGCAGGGCTTCAGCCGACTGTGTGGGGTTGGCATCACTGCTCCACGGACCCCCGGGATCAGTTCCCCCTCTCTGATCCTGGCACAGCAGCACGGGGAAGTGGAAGCTGGCTCGGTTATACAGCTGGTTGTCTACTTGCAGACTGGAGCAGTAGACCTCAATCAGAGAGGTATCAAGCATCAGCGCTGAAACGGGTGCTGTGTCCATGGCAGGGTCATCTGCCAGCTCCAGGGGAAGGGAGGGGGGTGCTGGAGCCAGGCTGAGGAGCAGCTTGGTCAATGTGAGTCTTAGCAGCTCCACAGAACCGGAGGGACTAGTGATGTCATCACTCAACGCCACACTGGTCTCACTCAGGAGGACTCTGAAGGACAGCTTGGAAGACCTGAAAACAAAATAGAGATTATTCATGTGAAAGTACAGTAGTAGTACCAATAGGCTGTTATAAGTTTTATTGTCCCTTTTGCTAACTAAAAGCAAAAAAACATAACTAAAGGTTCAACTATGCATGTGTATGATGGGTCTGTTTATTGATAGGCCAAATCATTCATCTTGTACTAACGATGTTTAATGAATTTCCTTCCACCAGAGCACATTATCAAAGATCACTGATGTCATTTGTTTACATTTACCTCATATGTGATTACATTAATTTCCTGTTTTGCCAAAATGACAAAGCAGCTATGTGTTGAGGTAATGGAATAAAGCTGTAATACAGTGGCCCTGAGAACTGAACACACTGCAGCTTAACACAACACATGCAAATAGACAGAGCACACAATTTAAGAAAACATCTGCAATTTGACAACACATGTGCAGCATTTAGAAAAAATGCTGCAAAGTGAAAACACACAACCACACACAGAAAACAGTCAAATACATACATGGTGTATAAATACAGAAAACAGGCCAATAGAACAGACAACAACAGAAAACTAAAAAGTGATGAACAGAGTTGGTATCTGGATCAATCTGTTGTTTCTATGGTGACTGAAGCAGTTACTCAGGGTGACTGTCTATTGATGGTGTTGAAAAATGAGCTAAAATGTAAGTTTGGGATTTTTCTTTTTCCTTTGTTTAAACATGTTGATCAAGTGATTGAGATATTATTCCAGATATCTACTGTTAACCCTTCAGCGTTATGCGTTTTCTGTATTTCAGAATCAGAAAAACTTTAATGATCCCCACAGGGAAATAGTTTTGTAACAATCGATTGTAAATAAGTGCAAACTACTATAAAACTACTATGAAATAGTGATAATAATAAATAGACAGACACTGAATAGAATAATATGCAAATGTGCAAAAAGTAAAAACTAATGTGTGCCAGGTAGAATCACAGTAACCGTAACCATAATGTGCAAGTAAACTGGTGTAATGTGGTCTAACAGTGGATTAATACTAGTTTAGGAGCAGAGAACTGATGGAGATGTGCAGAAAGGGGAGGAACACCACAGGAAGGAATGACTTCCTGTGGTGTTCAGTGGAGCACTCAGTCATTCTGAGTGTCTGGCTGAACATGCTGCTCTGGCTGAGGGTGTGCAGAGGGTGGCAGATGTTGTCCATGACATCTTCCTATCTTTTGGTTGCGTTTTCTGTATTTACAGCTCATTTCTGTATTTCCTTTTGTTTTTCTCACTTGTCAGATTGGGGAAGATGTTTTCTAAGTTTGCTTGTGTGTTGTCTATTTGCATCGTCTTAGGTCGCAGTTCCTAATACCATGTTCTACTGTGCAAATAATTTCACTCAAGACTCCACAAGAAAGTTTTAGTGCCCTCCTGTGGTGAAATTGATGCCTGTTTCCTCATGTTTGGAGTCTAGTAACAGCTGCTGCATGAAAACCTTACTGTTAACAATGATCATAAAGGAATTTGAAGTGAAGACGGTAAAAGGCACACTAGTAGATATCTTGAGGTTGTGAACAACAACATACACAAATGATTTATTATGGTTCAAATATGTAGGGAACATAAAACAACAATAGAACCACTGCCTGTGCACACATACCTGCTGTGCTGGTTGATTACAGGGTCCACACTGCCCTCTGGTGCCAGAGACAAAACCAGGGTACCTCTCTCATACACCACACCTACGTAGAGACACCCAAAGCCTGGCAGGAACACCACCTGGAGAACAGCAGAATACAAATCTGTAGTGAGATGGTCACGGACAGAGAGTGCTACTTGTTTCACCTTGAATAAACTTTGAGGAGGCAACTTAACACATTCACATAGCTCAGCTCAGTGCTGTTTACATTGTGCTTTGTGTGTGTGCGTGTTTCAGAACATACATGTGTCTGACTTTAACCTCCACCACTCCAGGTCTGGAGTGATCAGCCCCTCATGTGACGAAAGGAAGCAGATCCCTGCTGAACACTTTGCTGAGCAGTCATAACAAGTCCAACCTTTGACCTCTCCCCCCTACCACAGAGGTCAGACTCAGACCTCACAGTAACCAGAGATACACAGCCTCAACCTCAACCCCAACCTGCAGCTGGCTAGACACAACACCAAACATTAGACACACTACTCTTTAACATCCTGCTAACCACACTATTACACTGACCAGACCAGAAATACTTCGGCTGTGGACGCGCACGCACGCACACGTTTGGTGTAGATTTGGCCAGGAGTACCACAGTGAAAGACGGAGGTGTGCTTGTATGGGGCTGCATTCATACAAAAAGTGTAGGGCATGTGTCACTATTAATGCAAGTTTGCATACGCAAACACTGAATGAAAAGATGACCCCCAGTCTCGAGAAGCTTGGCAGGAGTGAGCAGCATGACAATGATCCCAAACACACAGTAAATATCACACCAGTTTGTAAAGAAGAAAGCAGTGATAACTATGACCTGACCAAGTATGTTCCCTGACTGGGATCCAACAGAAAACCTTTGGACTACTTTAAAGTAAAAGGTAGAGCAACAAAAGCTCTCCAGCAAAGAGCAGCTGAAAAGAATCATCTGTGAAGAATGGCAGAACGTCTCTCCAGAGATTTGTGAATGGAAAAAAATGAATGGAATCTATACAAAGGTGAACTGACTTTTGTTGCAGCTGATTCTTAAACATGGATGTTTCAATTAGTTTCTGCTTTTCAAATTAATTGGCTTCAATCTTCTTTGGCTAAAAACGAATTAAATTCAATTAAATGGACAGGATTTATAATTACTGTAGTGATACTGACTAGGGGTGTCCTCAGTTTTGTTGTATACTCTACATGCATGCTTCTACCTGAGTGCCCAGGCAGTTGATATCTATGGGGTCAGTCCAGTCAGTGGTGTTGTGGCCTGAGGTGGTTTTCAGCAGCAGTGTGGGCAGCATCTCTTTCTGCCTGCACTCGGGGAAACTGGAGAAGTGGTGGTAGAGCTCATGGTGCAGGGAACAATTAGCAGGCAGAGGACGGCAGAAGATCTCAGTTCTTGGAGTTTCTATGACAGATAAGACAAAATAGAGGATATGAAAAATAACAAATTATCCCAAAAAGCTTGTGAGAAGAAAGGAAATGGAGAAGATCTGGGACCAGATGAGAGGAGGGGTGTCAGGTCCAGTCAGACCTCGCCCTTCCTACCTTTGACATTTTCCTTCAACAGCAGTGGGATAGGACACTTGTTGTGGATCAGCATGCGAGGAGAGGGGTCCTCATTCAGAGTGATGTACGTCACCCCAAGGTGCTCCTGATACGTCAGTACTATGGCTCTGCAAAACATATATAAACAAACCCATAAATAAACCTTCCACAGACAGCTCAAATCCCAACCCCTTCTAACCACACACAGAAGAGAACACACACCCAATGGCATGCCAAACGTCACATCACTGCTGCGTCCATTTGCTTCATTGACGGAGCCCTAACTGAAGTCAAGCAGTGACACACCATTACTCTGTGTGTGTGTGTGTGTGTGTGTGCGTGCATGTGTTTGTGTCGATATTTGTGTTTCTGTTTGTATCTGTGTGTCTGGCAGTGCATACATTAGTGCACAAACACATAGTAAATGAGTGAAGCCTAAAGTATGTCTGTGAAAAAAGAAATGATTTGCACATCAGCCTATTTATTGTATATGCCACTGTGTGCCACAGAAAAAAGAAAAAGAAAAGGAAAGTAAGAAAGAAAGACATGACACAGATTGAGAGGGATCGATTGCACAAGACAAGCTGAGAGATTGACGGTGGAAATGTTGAGGGCATTTCTCCTTTTGCTTCATCTCCAGTGTTTAACAAGCTGTGACCAGCTACAGTGCCTCCCTGCTTGATGTCTTGTGCCAGCTGGGGTTCAGATCCCTGCTCTAAATGGACTGTTACAGCCAGCAAACCACAAATGCTCTGCTTCACCCACCTGCTGTTAAGGCCAACTCCAGAGTCTAGTTCCCCAGGAACAGACAAACTCTGCCTGGGGAAGTCTGGTCGAATGGGAGCAGGGAGGCTCCATGCTGCAGATCCAACTCCAGCATCGGGTCTGGGAAACAAGCTGAAGAGCATGTGTCTTAGTGGCAGAGGGTACTCCACCTTTCCCTGGACACTGGTTTGGAGGAGGTCCCAGCACGGCACAGAGCAGGGCTTGGCCAGGGACGACTCTTCAGAAGGAGCGAGGCTGAACACTGCTGTCTCTGGTATCTCACAGGCCTGGGGAGAGACCATAATATAAACATGTTGAAAAGGAAGAGGAAAACAGAGGAAAGAATGAGAAAGAGGAGAGGAAAGAAGGGAGGGAGATGAGAGAAAATAAAGGAAAATAAAACAATTTAAAGACAGGAGACAGATGAGGAAGGCAAAAAACAAAATTAAAAAAAAGCTTTGATGGAAGAAAAAAGAACAGACCAGAAGACACAGAGGTGAGGAGAACAAATGAGAATAAATAGGGGGTGGGGTGGGTGGACAGAAGTTGCGTTAGAAAAGGATATGAGATGGGACATCAAGTCAAAGAAGAAAAGAAAGAAACAGAGAGACGAAGATGCAAGTGATTACAACAAAAGATACATAGTAAAACCACATTGTTATTGTACTCTCTTCTTTCTCCCACTGAGCTTAGCACTAAATTGGTAGCAGAGAAGCCCTGCTGTGCTGGTTTAGCAGCCTGTGCGCGGCGAGTAGTTGAGGACTATAGGGATTAGGCACTAAGCATGATGAATAGACCAACTAAAAAGGCATTCCTAGCCTTGTTTGTGGTCTGTGTTATTGTTAAGCCCAGCGCCCGCTATTTAGTTTTTTAGGCTTTTTTCTTTTTAAAAAGTTTTTCAGTCAATTAGTGGCAACTGGCAAGCTCTGCCATCGTTCTTTAAGGGGATCTGAAGGCTCGTTAGATGACATCACTACATTGTTACTCTCTTTGGGGACAAGCAGCAGATGAAAGTGAGAAGGGAAACCTGCATTCAATTCTGGGTGTTTGTCTAATGTCCCTATGAAGTGCCATTGCCACATTGTGAGAACGGTGGAGGGAGAAAAGGGGGGGCAACATGATCTGATGGAAAACGGCTTGCTATGTCCCTGCAATGTGTACGTGTGGTTGTGGTGGATGTGTGTGAGTAATGTGCGTAGGGAATATACTGTATGTGTGAAGCTTCAGAAACTGTAGCAGGACAGGACAGACATGAGGACCATACAGGATGCAGGACCATACACATACATTCAAACACACACACACACACACACACACACAGAGGCCTTATGATTATGAGGTAGCAGCATGGAACGGAAGCTATCGGGCTGGGGATTGACATTATTTCACAGAGAGCTGGAGCAAACACTTCAGCTGGTGGGGACTTAGAGACTGGGCAGATGTTGTGATGTATGAAATATTTTCCTTGTACTGCCTTGAAGTCTTGCCTCACATGTTCTAGCCCTACGCCAGGACAAGCAGTTGTTTTTACATGTTTAAATAAAGGGGGAGAACAAAAAAAACATACAAAGACATTGTGTATTTGAGCATTTCATATTTGACCAAGAACAAAAATAACCCAGATTTGACATGATTTGACACAATTTCATTAAGTCATAGAATAAATCAGCTACTTCATTTGAGTCACACTACTGAGGGTTACTTATTGCAGGAGAAAGTGTGTTCATGTGAGCATTTATGCACAATACCTGGTCATCAGCTCCCAATGCGTGGTGAGTCAGCAGAGGCCTGTACTGTATCGTGTAAGGAGTGGCATTGACAAGAATAGTTCTGTCTTCTATCTGTAGGATCTGGATGCCGTGTCTCACCACAGACGACACACAGAACTGACAAAGCTACAGGAGGGAAACAACAGTCACTATGTTGTCAGCAATCAATGATAAAAAACAAGCATAAAAACAAAACGAGTTACTTGAGAGATCTGGATATTATCTTCATGTGGAGATGCAGAGCTAATAAAGTTGATGCAGTAATAAAAGATACATTCAAAAATGTTTTAATAAAACTTTCATTTCGATGCTGTCTGTTCAACAATCTACTCAAAACTGTTTTCAGTTAACTACATTATACTGCATGGTAGTAAAAAACATTTTCATGATACCATCTATGGCCTTAAAGTAAAATCCAATTACTTTAAATGACTATTTCAAGACCTAAATTTTACTATTTTAAGGTCAATTTTCCTTCTTTTCTGTCTCAAAAATCTTTTTCTTTTTTCCACTTTACTGTTTTGGTATCAGTATATATCTAAACAAGTGAACAGTTTGGTTTTAACTACAGTTGGCTTGTGGTAGAAAAACAGCTGATGAATAAAAACAGCTGAAAACCAGCATGTAATTCAATAAACACACCAGAACTTGTAAAATGCATTCTGATATATTACAACATAGTTCCTTATTAAAAGCCTAATGTGTCTTGACTTGATAATTCAATAAACTACTTCACTTTCCTTTTTGGAAAACACCTTTTTAAATATCAGGACTTTTATGATTGCATGGTTTAAAAGCTTATAAGTTTGACCGTTGTTTGCCTCACCTTCTGTCTTCCAGGGAAGGCTCCCAGGGTGATGTCAGCCTCCACATATCCCTCCTCATCCAGTGTGACCACCTCTGAACCTGAACCCTCCTTCCATCGAGGAGAGGTCAAGTCATGGACGAGTTTCAGTGCTGTAGACTTGTGGACGGTGTTAGTGTGGGCCCAGTAGATACCAATCTGGAAGGCTTCCTGGATGGTGAATGGTGGGTCAGAGGGAAAGATGTGAGGGTGAGAATGGGAAATTGACAAAGGGAGGAAGAAATCAGAGGTCAAATCACTGTCAGTCATTTCAGACAATTTGGGCTATTAAATCTGACTGTATTTGATTGCATTTTGGAAACAGTCACATGGTAAGGGTCAACTGTGGTTTCATTGCCAACAACTCAAGCACAGTGTTTCTGACAGTGTCCATGTTCCCTGCATAGCTTTTCAAACAGTCCTGGCAAATGAAGACTACATAACCTCCATCACTGTAGGCTGTGTTATGAGAACATAATTTAAGAGCCTCACAAATGCTTGAGTGACAGCTGTTTCAGCATCATAAGCCTTCTGCCCTAGACCCATCAACTCTGAGAGACCAAGTCCTCTCTCCACTTGTTGTTCCATGATAAATAGCAGGGTGCTATGGAAACAATGCTTTATTTGTTTCTATTTCACAGGCTATTACACATTTACCACTTTTTATTTTGTTTCTTTGTGCTGAACCGTATCAGCACTTGTTCTTTGATACGTTGCCTTCTCGCTTAGCTCTGGGTTAGTGGTAGAGAAATCTGTTTATGTGTGTGTTATGTTCCACGGGGGGAAAACCATCTGCAGACTTCTTCTTCTGATCTCAGAAACCAGCGAGAAGACATGCCTACAGTATATGGTGACAGGGCTTGGCTGCAGATAAATACTTAGGCAGGGAATACTGTTGTAATGCAGCTCTGTTGAATGATCTCAGGTTTTGTGCTTATTAGTCAAGACTGTAATGAGAAAAGAGCTGCTTTCATACTGAAGGCTGTCATGCCATATACTTGATCTAAAAACATAATATATCTTTAGTGAAATTTTAAAAGATCACTGAATACCATGAAGTCACTAAGATTTGGAAAGTATACAGTCTATTAATGTCTTTCAGAACCAGAATTAGTTTTACTGGTTAAATCGTGTCCTGACTGAAAACATTTGAAAGTTGAGATTCATGCAATATGACTCCTTTGATGCAGCATGGCACGTAAGTATTACGTAAGAAATCCAAGTGATATAAGAACATTTAGAACAGAAAATTTGTTTTTCAGTGTATGCTTTTACATATGAAGTAGGAACCTGTGAAAATAGTTGTGTGATGGCTTCTGTGGATGTGGACAGAGACGTCTCAAGTCTTCAAGCCCAAATCAAGAATTGGGGTTATCTTGATCTTGATTTGGGTTTAAAGGCTGCAAAGTTTTACTAGAAAGCCTACGTTACAATTGAAGGCAGGGAGTTGGTAAGACATGGGTATTTACTTGGCAGGGGAAGATTAACAAAATATGCCACTGATTTGCATTATGGGAAATGCAGGATATTGTGTTTTTGGAGTTCGGGACTAAAGTTTGGATACTTTGGCCTCAGTAGCTTTGATTTTGACAGATTTTTTTTAAATAAATGTGTCACTTGCAGGATACATATACTGTGGATAGCACCCTACCTTGAAGTTGGGTGGTACGATGACCTTGCCGGCTGGTATTTGGAGTACAATGGTCTCTCCCTCAAAAAGCCAGAGGTCCCATTGGGAGTGGTTAGCCAGCAGGGCCCAGGGCAGCAGCTCCACCAGCAGAGTGTTCAGGCCAGACTTCCAGCAGGATAATTTCACCTGCATGGGACTGTCCCACTGGGCAAGGGGCTCCAGCACAGACCTGGGAGGGGGTGTATGTGTGACACATTACATATTTTCCAGGAAGTGTAAGAAAACACAAACTAATTAGTTTTTGTCTGTTCCAAGCCAAATGTGTAATTGCTTTAAAATGAAAGACTATTCAGAGACCTCACTGAAGCCAGTGGACTGAGATGCTGTGGAGAAAAAACTGACTTCAATAGTAAGAGGTAAAGTTAAAGATTTTTATAAGATTTGGATTCCTTTCTTAAATTTTACAATGACAGTCTATGATCAGACAAGGGTTTTGTGCTACCACCACTACTCCAAGGTAGCTTGTTATTTGTATTATAGTAAGGATAACACGGTTGTGAATAGGAAGAAAAGGATGATGAATATAGGCTTCTGCAGTAGGGCTATGGGTGCACAAACATATTCAAACATATTACTATAATGACATATACATATAGACAGAGAGACAGACACAGTTACCAAATGCAAAACAAACGATCATTATTGTCAGATCAGCTTGGTAACAGAACTTCACCGGGATTAAGGATATCATTTCCCCCTCTCTGCTCATGTACTTTGGCTGTGGACATGTTTTACATGCTGCCAAATACAGAGTAGCATGCAGCCTTAAACAGGTATTTAATGTGTCATATGTAAATAAACAGTTACAATATGCAGACCATTAACACACTGTCTCACAAGCTAAACAAATACATAGAGAGAAACTGTCTGTAAATAAGTTATGCAATACAAACAGAGGGAACAGTTGACAAAACATCTAGGGACACACATGGGCATGCTGAGACACAGATTAACAGGCAGACAGACAGAAACACACAACCATTTTTCCACCAATCTATCCACAGCAGTCATTTCACAGTAATCATGGTCTTGTGAGCCCTAAACAGTGCTGAGTGCCAAACAAACAGTTCTCTCACGGCCAGTCTTCCCTTTCCCCCAAGGCTGGTTCGACTCTGCTCAACCTACCAACCTGCCGTCTCAAACTTGTCACATACCCGAAGACTCCCTGCTAAGAATAGGGACCAACAAGCACAAGGCATAGTTATTCTTTACCATTTACTGCTGTGTGTGTCTATGTGTGTGTGTGTGTGTGCATGTGTGTGCGCCTTGGCCTCAAGGCTGAGGGCAGCAAAGTGCAGGACTCATTAATCATATTACAGAGCTCACAAAAAAGGTAATTGAAAGAAATGTGCGCAGCAGCTTCTGTCAAACCTGCCAACTCTGGAGTTGAGAGTTTTAGAAGTGTGAATTTTGAGAGGCGCACTACTCTGAGCACACACAGCCTGAAGCTTGAGCTTACCCTAACCCTAACCGCTACAAGATGTTTGTTTAATGGTTGTGGAGGTGTCTTGCTGCCACTAAAAATCCAACAGAGAAAGAAAAATAACATTTACCACTTTCAACTTCCTCTGTCCCTTTAAGACCCAGTATTTACACACTTCCTGCCAAGCAGTTCGGTTGGTTTGGTTTCTCTGCTGTGCCACAGAGACGGAGCAGTCTCCAAACAGCAAACTGTGTCACTGTTATCAACATTAAGGAAAAATATACAAATTAAACTGTGGGTTTCACTTGCTGTCCAAGTTCTGAGTGTGTTTAGAGATAGAAATCAGTGCTATTAATCCTTTAATGACACTTTTTCCCATTTTCTCTTTCCATTTTTATCCTTATGCTGCTTCACATAAAGTAGTAGATTTCTGCCACTTTCCATGATGGGAAAAGTGTTTTGGCCTCAGGCTTTTGTCTCACAGGGATGGATCGCAGGGAAGAGAGAGGTCTGACTGACAGAGAAACCCAACACCAAACAGCAGATAGCAGCCCTGCATGGACATCTAGTTTGTGTGACATTTAAAGATGAACAATGAATATAGTGGTGTGTATATGTAACACAGCGTTATGAGTGTGTGTACACATGTGCTGGGCAACAGTCCGTGTGTGTGTTTGCATATGTATAGAGAGAAGAGAAACCCAAGCAACCACAGGCAGACATATGGCCGTCTTTGTAACTCGGAGACTGTGGGAGAGCATGTGGCCACGTCTCCTACCGCTGCTATCAAGATGTGATTGCTTTGTGACAAAAGATGAGTCCCAGAGTGACGTATGTGGGGGGATTCACATGTGAGTGCTGTACGATGGTATACATAAACTCATGCATGGGTCACATACTGTATACACACATTTGCACAGAAACACATATATACAGTATACACACTGTACGTTCTGCAAAACTGTGCCAAGATTTAACTGAATGCAAGGCCCTGTGACTTGTGTGAGAAAGTGGGAGTCTGACAGAGCGACAGCCTAAATCTCCAGTCTGTGGGGACTGCAGTGGGATTGCAGCCTAATGTCTGATGCATGGCTCTGCATTGTCTTTTGCAGTTAACTGTTTTATTATGTGAACAAAGAGTAACCAATAAAGAGAAGCCTCCCTCATGAAAGGCTCGCTTGCACAACTCTGTGCTTTGAGGAAAGATGCTGTAAGAAGCCTGCTATTAAAAAAACATACTGGTGGGTCTCGATGAAATCTGTGTTATGAAATCCTACCAACCAGATGTAGTGCTTGTCACAGAAGTGCTAAAATAAAAATGAAAAACAATTACACAAGTTGACTTGTGACAAAGGATCATGAGGTGTCAAGGCTTCCAGCTGGGATATGGCTCATATACTCATGATGTTGTGAGTATCAATCTGGCTCATAACTTGTATTATGATCATCATTTTCTCTATCCTGCTTTGCTTTAGCTTGTTTATCCTACTCAGGTGCTTGTAAGTGCAGACAGGCTTTCCAAGATTTCTTTCTAAGCAGGCGTTCAAGAATAATCATGGAAATAAAAGTGCAGCTGACTACATTTGTATTTACCCTCACAGAACATTCACTGCACGTTTTAAAATTAGCGGAGCAGTACCTGTCAGTGTCTTTGGTCACGTAGGGCCACAGAGGCTCAGTAGAGGTTTTCGGACCATAGAAGTCAGCCAGGATGTGTTTCAGGTTGTCCTCATTTTCAGTCTTATTCAATATCTGTTTGATCAGGCTGGTGGAGATTGGCACAGCACAGTGGGACGCATCTTCATCCTCCCTGTGGAGCAGAGCACAATCACAGAATCATTACAGATTTCTCTCAAAAGCTTTTATTTGTCTATTTGGGAAGTTTCCATTTGAAATAGATACTTTAGAGGATTTTTCTTTTAATATAAATATTTTCAGTGATTCTTAATAATGTGCCATCTTCACCCAACAATGTGTGGGTCCTCCTGGCAGGTCGGCACTGTACAAGCTCATTGCACTTTGATTTTCTCCTCTGGTGAAGGGCTTTGTAACTGATTGCTTGAAATGAAAACCTGCGTACTTTTAGGGTCATAAAGGCACATGGTTTGAACCACTGCTATATTTTTTGTCAGCAGACCTGGCTTGGAAGCATGTTTACTTATTCTACGCCAGAAACAATTCAAATATACTTCTTATTTCACTATAGAACAAGACATCTCTTGACAGGATCTGACTATTCCCATTGTTCTGTTCAGAACAATTAAATGACCTCGGGGTAAACTCTGCGTTTACCCTGAAACTTCAAGCAGTCTGAATCTGCCTTTTGTTTTGGACTTTTCTTCCTGACATGCTGTCTAGCCTTACAAACAGTAATTCACAAAGATCATAGGAAAAGCTAAACGGCACTAAATAATCCTATTGGATACCTCAGCCCCAGACACTGGTCAATTATGGCTTTACAACAAGGAGAAAAAAAGAACTAAATCCAAACACTGTAATGGCTTCTTCTCTTTCACTAGACAGCATCCAGTTCCACTTGGCTAAAGCAAAGCAGCCCCCTTACCCCAGAGCAGTAGTTTATTAATAGAGCCCATTGTGCTATAAAAGGAACACAGGGGCTGTTGCTTATGGATCTGGGGCAAGACAGAGGAGAGGGACAAGGTGCTGACAGGAAGCTTTTCATCCAAAGCAGTTCCTGAGGGGGGAAACTGGAAGAGGCTTCTGATTGTAACCCTCAGTTCTCTAATGTGGTGGCCAATATGAGCAGAGCAGGACATAACGGTTCTGGTTAAGACTTGTCTGTGTCTCTTGTGTCGCAGACCGCAGCTATGCTCTCTACCTCGTCCATTAGAGCCCACAACTATGTGTAATTACAGGAAGGAAAGATGAGCTGTTGACCAGTGAACATTCAGGATTGGATCCATCCCAGAGGGTTGGGGTTGTGGAGGGGGTGGGCTTTTGTTCATGTGTGTGTGTACCAAATATGTATATGTGTGAAGGTACGTTTACAATTGTGGCTTATAGTGTGTGTTTGTGAGGATGAAGAGGGATGAGGGATGGATTGAGTTGGGCGGCCAAGGGAGGGGAGTACGTAAGTTTGTGCGGTGAGAGACAGTTTGGGCACGGGATGGATGGTAAACACAAGGAGCATTGTGGTTGCAATCTAGAAAGACAAGACACTTAGTTGTTGCTGAGCTTGTTGTTTGTGCGCATAAAGGGGCCAAATATATTCCCAGTCACTATATGGCCACTGTGGTTCCTTTATGGCAGCTGAAATCAAAACAAACTTTGCGACCAGATATCTAAACACACAACAGTTACAGCAAAAAATTATGTCAGGGGGAGTCAATTACACTCAACGTTTACTCTGTTTATTCAGATCACCACTAGTTGCTACCAAAGGGGTGATTTTTCTTCCATGGATTTGCATAAAACAACATAAATTACAGATGTACAGATAACAAAGACAGTAGGAGCAACAACAATACAGTGTGTACATGTGGTAGTTATTACCTCTGGGGCCATCCATACTGAAACGTAAACACTCATGTTACACAGAGACACTTTGGACCAAAACATCTGTCATTTATACACTATGTATAAGACATGACACATGAGGTAAAGTTGTGATGTTATTAGACTATATAACATACATATGCCTTACATGGCATTTCTTTTATGGGCGAATTTTGATGCAGTTAAACCTTTTGACAATCGATTCAGCTTAGTGGAACCTGCTATGATAAATTGTATAAAGAGCTGTCTCTTACAAGAGGATGTGGACAATATGAGAAAGTGAGAACACACACTGACAAACTGGGACGGAGTAACAGTAGTGATGTATGTGACAGACTCTGCCCATGATGAAGTGGCAACTGTCACACTTATGTTGGCACATAGCTAACCAAGACAACGACAGACACAGACCACACACACATACGATGACACATATCCACATATCCTAGTCCACTCCCACGCAAACATGTGTGCATACACACAAACAATCCTCCCCATGCATGAACTCACACTCACACACACACACACACACACACACACACACACACACACACACACACACACACACATACAATCACAGGGCCAAAAACCTGCTCTCTGTTAGGTCCTGTATCTAAATGAGGTGTAATTACAGTCCAGCCTGACATTTTGGAATTGGAGCTGTTTCTCAGTTGCTGCCAAGCTGGCTTCCTGTTCCCCTGCAATGTGCCTGGATCCCTCTGGATCATGTCTTGATGTTGGCTCACAGAAACCAGAATGTGGTGTGAGAGAACCTTAAGTAAGTGTCTCTCAATCTTCTTTAAATGGAGACATAAAACACCCATTACAGCAGACCAGAGTCAGACACTGTCCTTTGCAGCAGTATGAGCTGGTTGCTGATGATATAATATAACACTGGATTGAAAGATGTAAATTGTCCAGTGAGTCTGTCCCGCTGATCGACAAACATTAACAAGCAAGGATGGAAAGTTGTGTTAATATATCATAGGATGTGCAGAAAGGTTCACTTATTGTGGCTTATTTAGATTTGTGTACTTGGTCTTGCAGGTGAGACAGTTTTCTTATTATTTCTAATACGGTTTTTAGCCTTTGAAGGATGGAAACATAAGAAGTGTAGAGTTTTGGCAACAGAATATACTAGATGGTCTTAATGTATTAAAGCTCAAATAGATATTGATATATGGAGTTTTGTTGTTTGTATTTTTTTTTACCTGGCCTGGAAAGTGAGATGGTGGGTGATGTCAGCCTCAGTGTTTAACAGGGGCTCCTGGTGGCCCTGTCCATGGATCAACTGGCTCTCTCTCAGACCCAGACTCCTCTTCTCTATGTGGATGATTACTGGATCGGGCAAATGGCTCCTCATGACAAACAGTGGACTGAAAACCACCTGAAACCATGGCATTCACATAGAACAATCATCCGTGAGACTTACTGCACAAACAAACTGAGTGTAAAGAATTAAACTGGTACAGATAGTTGGCTGAAAGTGAGAATTGGCTTAGCTGTTCAATAATTGTGCTGTCATGAATCCTAATAAAGAACATTTATTCATTTTGGACTAATCAGTGTATCCTAATAAGATACACTGGGGTTGAAAATATAGCAACAAATAATAGTAACAGTAAAGATCAACCAAGTAAAAACAAACCAGCCTGGTCTAATCACTTCACATCAAAATATACAAAAGAAACTGTTGTAACACTTCCTCTGTGTGCATATGAATAGAAAATGCTTTGGTATTGTGCAGTAATTAATAATACATGGCTCTCATTACCTAGCAAGAGTTGAAGAAACATATGCATCCTCTATAATTATACAATAACTGAGTTTAATCACTGCAGGTGTTAATCTAAGGATTGGTGGTGCAACTGCAACACCAAGAAAAAAATCTCAATTTTACCCACAATATGGAAATAAACATGTAAGTGTTTGTGCACAGGATACTCACTAATCTCTGCTGCATGTGAGAGTCGGGTTCAATGGTGATGAGAGTGCACCACACATAGAGTAAAGAACCACTGGAACATGGCACCTGGAAGGGGACAAGCTGGCTGTTATTGATCTCAATAATCATCAACCCAACTGCCCAAATCATAACTTAAAAAAAAGATATTTCTACAGACGTCATACTGTACTTCAGGAATTTCAGTGCCTCTGCATTATTGCAAAGGGTTAACAGGAAAAAGACACTCAATGGCAACATTTTAGTGTTTGTATGTGGTTAGAATGTAAAATATGGATATCTGATGACTTAAATGCCTTTGTCACTTCTCACTCACAGACAGGATTTTTACTGCTTCCATCAGTGACACATTATCATGTTTTGTCCTATAAAACTTTGTTTCTTGGCTTCTACCAGTAGTTAAAAGTTAAGTCTCCCTTAAAGCCTATAACACAGTATAATGGCTGAGGCGACTGACAACTGTTAGTGCTAGATAATGGGCCATTACAGGCAGTTAAATCCTAGCAAGATTTAAAGACTGAGAATATGCCCACCGAAGGCTGAGCACTCTTAATGTGGCACTGCTGTTTGTGTCATTTACTCCTCTTTCCTTATTAAAACCTTTGGATGCCAAAGCACATTACAAGTGGTCTAGTTTATGACAGACCCGGGACTTCATTTACTGGTGGGGACAACACAGTGGAGAAAAGAGACAGAGCGAACATTCGGTTTCAATATACAGTCCATTGAAAAGCAACCTTGTTGGGATGAGGGAGTGAAACTTTGGCAAACAGATACTAACCCTGATCCACCAAAAACACCCACAGCTGGAATAAGGTCATGATGACCTCCTGTGTTTTGTCGAAAGAAAACGGCAAGAGCAAAAAAAATAAGAAATAGGGAGGAGGAAGGTGAGATATGAGGAAGAGGAGTTACTTCAGATGGATGACTGTTACAGAGAATCAGGAGCCAGATGAGAAAGGCAACAGACATCAACGCAGGAGAGAGTTAGAGGGTGGAACAGGTGGATAAGCTGGATGCCAAGGGATGAAATAAATAAAGAGGATGAGTTAACAACTACAAGATAGATGAGTGAGCCAGTGAGTGGGCGGGAGAGTAAAAGAAAGGGAGGAAACAAGAGACTGAAATAGGAAGCAGACAGAGATAGAGAGATCTGAGGATCCAGCTACTAGTCCAGGCAGCTCTCTCATTTAGAGCCAACCCTCCATATGTGTAATGAATGGCTGATCTGAGGAGAAGAGATAACAGCAGAGGTTGGAACGGAGTCAGAGATGTTCAGACCCACACAGAAGCGGGAGCTGTACTATGGCTAGCTGTTAACAGCATGGGGCATATAAAAGAAGAAAACAAAGAGAGAGGGGCACGCAAAATAGAGAACAAGAAAAAATAAAGAAGAAGAGAAAAAACAGCAGGAATGGAGAGAGGAAGTGATCGTCTGGCGCTAATCCAGCAGTGTGAAAATGCCTTCAAAGCCTCTCCCTGTGCCCACATATCAGCAAGTGTTTGGTTATGGTTAGTGTTGTTATGAGAGAGCATAAACTGTATTTTCTCCCTCTCAACATGGCTGGGTTATGGGTTGGAGGGCCTTTGTAAGCCTATCTGAGGGGAAGATCTCAATCTGTTCTAACAGTGAGTAGCATGCGAGCTCTGCCACTGTGGCCACCCAGGAGAAGAGGATCCGGTCACAGTTGGTGGTCTAGTCACCAGTTCCAAACATGTGTGTGGATGGAGAGATGGTTGGAAGTGGTGTGCGCAATGTGTGCGTCTATCTGCGTTTGACTGGGTAGCACATCCAGCTTCCATTTGGACAATCAACCTTATCATTCTGGAGCAACTACAGTCTATACACATTCTGTCTGCCAATATACGTGACAAGTGAAAAAATGTATGGTTAGGAAATCTTGCAGGTGCTTCTTTTACAAGATTTGAGTTGCTGACTATTCCACACTGTAGGAAGGATAATGAGGCCTGTCAAGAGCTAAAATAACATTTAAAATAACTAATTTAACCACTAACTAACCAGCAGTAAAAAGCATCTTGACAGGTCTTTGGAGAAACGGCCCTAAACAAGCACCAGCTCGGTCTAGTCATGGAAATCAGTTACAGTGTCAGATTGTGGTTATGGTTGCCTCGATGTATTTTATGTTAACGTACCTGTACAACAGAGCTGCTGCTCCCTTTGTTCCTCCTCTCCAGCTGAACATCCTGGGACCAGTCTTCATCTCCTCGAGCCCTCACACACAGCTCTGTCATCTCAGTGTCCTCCAGCACATAGGAAGGCAACTTGGCCCCAGCCTCCAGGCAATCACAGTGCTCCCTAACCACCGTCTGACTGTCAGGCCCCACATAGTGCTGCACCACACGCAGCTCAATGTCCTGAGTCAGATAGCTGCACATTACCTGCCGCCCACAGATTATTACCTGGAGTTAAAGACAAAAGAGGAGAATCGCAATAATTAGAAATAAAATAATTCATTTCATGTTGAAGTAATACACACTGGCCCTTTCTCAGCTCTACCTGGAAATCCTGTGCAGGTACTTTTGTTTTTAAAAACCTGTCTTTTGTCAGTCTAGGTAAGTTTGTAGAAGTATAGGTAGTTAGGAAAAGGGGTTGTACTACATTTTTTAAACCAATATTAGGAAAAATCCTCCTCTATCAAATCTTTCAAACCAAAAGGTCACAGATGGCAGAAACTGCTTTGCTTCTGAAAGCCTTCTGAATCAGTACAACTTCAAGTTCAACAGTCCTTGCTTCTCTATATGAGCCTCAGGGCATGATGCCTCTGTAGCTGTGCTGCTGCTATCTCTGTTCTTATCAAAGGGTTGCTATGAAGCCTGACGGCTTCCTCACTGCCTGATCACAAGGTCACTGTCCATCACTCCATATATAGTACACGTACACATAAAACGTTTCCTTTCATCTTACCTCATGTGCCACACATACACAGACCACAGGCCTCATTCTTGTCCTAAAATTCTTTCCTTTTTCTATGAGTGCTCCAAGTCACATCCACCAAACTCTCTTAACTGTTACAGCTCTCAGTAGGTGATGTTACACTGCTGGGTGCAAAAGAGGATGATAGTGGACAACAACCTGCAGTAAGACCATGAGGCGGCTGTCACAGTGAGAAAAATCCCACTTCCACTGTTTCTAGCTTCTCAAATGTTACAATTTGCTTCTTTTCTGTTTTAGGTGAAGGTGTCGTCCTTGAAACTGGGAAACAGATCATAACTGATCAATAGTAGTCAGCAGCAGCCCTAATGCCTCTGCCTGCACATGTGTCCTGTGTTTAATTAAGAGATTGCGTGTGTGTGCAGATTTGTGGTATTTATATTTTTTAACAGCAGTCAACATGAGGTGCTAATATGAATGATGAGGAGGCTGTCACAATGAAAGATTATGGGGTAGCTAGACCGAAACGGAGAGGACAGCACTGTGTGACACAAGATGAAGTACGCTAACGCAGACAGGAGCAAACTTCCTCTGTAGTATCAGCCTCTGTCCCACTATGAGGCTTTGTATTGTGAATTGGATGTGACCAATGCTCCTACCCCATCACTGGTTCCAATGGGAACAAGATGTAAGCAGTCAGGGACAGACAGGGGAAGGAATGTGAGAGGCCGAGTCTGTTTTGTCTGGAGGACGAGAGGGAGACATGTACGACACTTGACACTGTTTACATAACAAAGTGTCACCGCTATAATCTGATGGCATCTCTGCATTTTCAGGAATACAGCAACTCTACCTTCTATTATGGAAAAATCCAAACATGATTCACTACTTGTCTTGGTGAAAAAGACGAAAGCGGCTGGTTTATGATTTCCTGTGCTCTTCTTTCTGAAATGATTGGGCACATTGTGTTTTTGGATGGCCTCAAACTCACCAGTTTATGTTTTAATGCTTTAAAGCAGATTATAAAAACTGACAAAAACAGCCGAGCAACTACTAAATCATAACATAAAAATGGAAGAAAAGTGGATATTAAAAAGTGCTCATCTGAGAACGAACACTGGGAAAAAGGCCAGGCTTCCGCAGCAGCAGTCAACAGGAGTAATGCGTTCCTGCTTTCTCTGTGGTAATGAACCACTTACAAAATTTTTTACAGGTTAGCGGTGAGCTAATCTGCAGGATCTCTATACTATATTCTTGATTATGTTGAAAACTTTGGTCCTTGTTTATTACTGTGGTGTATTTGCACCTCAAATCTTGACTTGTCAATTAAAAAGTGTTGCTAGTGCTGTGAGGCTTATGCCTTGGATGTTCTAAACATTAAATTTGGGTTGAGTAATCCTCTTCATTATTCCAGTTAACCTTGATGCGGCTATAAGAAAGGAAAAATGTATACGTTTTTGTATGTCAGAAGATTTTAACCCAGAAATACCAAACATGACATCTCCATGACAATTGAGAAGACAGTGAGATAGTGTGAATAGACATTGTGTTAAGATTTTTTTGTCGAACCAAAGACATTCTTAGAACAGCAAATGTAATACTTTTCATATTTAGGTCATATCTAGAATGAAAAATGATGATGAATGATGATGAATGATGGTTGCAGGATGAAAAAAGTAAATAATGTGTTTAATACATTTTTCGTTAATATTTTCTCAAATCATACATTTAAGAATTTGTGTGTGTTTACAATGCAAACCTATCCAAAACAACAACAACAACAACAACAACAACCACCAAACAAACCAAAACTGACAGTACCTGTTTCTGGACTCCACTGAGCTGCACCACCTTGATGATGAGCGAAGCGGTACGTCCTTTGTACTGAATGGTCCTCAGCAGGGTCCCTACATTGTCCACACTGAAGGCCTCTGACCAGCGCCAGTTTCCCCATCCCTCGATGCAGATGTGCAGCAGCTGTAGGATGGGACACAGCAGGACACACATACAAAAACAGGGACAAAGGACACCTCAGAGGTTAGTCTTCTTGCCCTTTATTTATCCCCAAGCAAAAGGCAAGTAAACAACAAGATTCTTTGTTTAGAAGATTTTGGAAGGGGGGAGAAGAACAACAAAGTTCCTGTTTACTGGTGCTGAACAGGCCTTCTGCTGTTGCAAGTAGACATAGGAGGTTGCACACAATAAACTGACTGGTGGAAAACAGCTGATGTGGAAGCTCATTATGGCTACATGTGTGTGTGTATACTTATGCGGTTAGATGAGGAAGGCTCTGTTCTCCACACGTCTAAATAAGAGGCAGATAGTTTGGCTCTCAACCTTTTCAGCTTTATATCCATCATTCAGTGTGGAGCACATCCATGTGTGTGGCTGAGTCTAAACACACAGATACAGGAGGACAGCAATAAACAGACTCTGTCCTGTCTTTTGACATTCAAACAGCTTTACAGTGGGGACAATTTTCCGACCATTTTCCACATAATTCCTTGTATTGTGGGCCACAACAGGCAGCAGGGCTGATAATATGAATAGAGGCATCATTTCTAAGATAACTACATCTATATCTTAAGACAGTCTTTATACTGGTGTTTAAGTTGCTTTTTCCACTACACAATATACACAATGCAATAACACAGACTTTGCTTTAAAGAAAAGTGTCATGAAGTGCATATTTCTGCAGACATGTCCCCTTCACCTAAATCCAGATGCATACAGCACCTCTGTGCTACAGTGAGGTCATTCAGAGATCTGTCCACTTCTAAGTACAGGATGCTGTATTCTACATGACAAGGAAACTAATTTGTCAAACAATGTTAGTGTTGTCATGGATTATGGTCACGATACGGGGACAGAATCACAAATATGGAGCAGGATCCAAAGACTTCTCCCCTCCAAAGGCAGCGTGGCTGACCTTCCACCTGGCTGAACTCTCTCTGTCAGCCTCGTTGCCAACACAACTTCAAACTTGCAACAGTAAAAAAGGGAGGGGAGAGAATGGGAGAAAGACAAAGAAGCAATGTATGTGAGTGAGAAAGACAGGGGGGACAAGAGGGTCAGGGGAGGGTCAGGGGAGGGACAGGGGAGTGACCAGATTGAAACCCAGAGAAGCGTTTTTGAAGATTTACACTTTGACTTGTCGCTTCAATGCACCAAACATCGAGCCAATCTGTTTAAAGAAAAACAAATTACTCCTGAGGTTAAAGAGCATGGGGGGACCCTGGTCAAGACCCTCTGTGTTTCTCTCCACTCCAGTCTTTCCTCACTGTTTGAAGGCAGATTTCTTTACAATAACATTCTTAATCAAAGCCTGGTTCACTTTTTTAAAGATCATCCCTCCTCTCTGTTGGCTGAGTGGAAATTACATAATTTCTCAGATCTCCTGCTCAGTGGACTTACTCACGGGGAAAGTGGCAGAGTGGTGTAAACAGTCAGGTTGCAAAAGTTAAGGTTAAGCCTAAGGGTGGAGAACCACTAGACGACTCCCTAAACCAGCTCCCAGGCTCTCTTTAAGTGACCTGGTGCTGGATGAGATGGAAACTTTTTAATTTGCATTCATCTTCAAAGCTCTCAGTTTTAGCCTTCGTCCTTTAGATTTTGAGTGCGACTGGGATCGGTGTTAATTATCTTCAAAATCCTGTAGCAGTGAACCTATTGTCTCTGCTGTGCCTGAGAACCATCTGTGAAGACCAATCTGTTATTTCAACACTAGTCTCTCCTTTAACCCCTCTATCCTTCCCTCTTTCTCCATCCACTTAATCATGCCTGTGGCTAAACTTAACCTTTAAGTGAGAAGTCATAATAACGTCTCTCCTCAAACTTCAAACAGCAACTGCCGCTCTTGTTTTAATTCATCACTGTTCTGACTCAAGCAGAGGAAGAAAAAAAAAAAAAACAGCAGTGACACAGATGAACTGGACACGTAGGACAACAAGTATGAAAAATAAGAAGCTGCTGTGCCTTTGTGATTTATCCAACTGTGACACTGAGAAAACCCAGTCAGCCACATGTGGTGGTTTTATGCACATGGATTAAGCCTGTAATGTGGAACGTCACCAGTAGAAATCGCTTTGTAGTAAAATGAGGCTTAATCTGAAGCAAAAACTCATAGATCAGACTTTACTTCAATTAATCAATGAATTATCCCTAAGGTAGGATCACTTAATACAATAAAGTAAATACAATAATATTGTGTACACTGCAGCTGAGGTGTAAATGGAGAGGGGAAACTGCATCATGAAAATAAATAACAAATAACTGCACTCATTTTAAGAACTTAAATATCGGTAAGAGTTAATTAACGCAGCTGTCCAGAACCAATGGCCCAAGGCCTTACATGAGAGTAAAGTCCAGAGTTGCCTATACTGTATAATGGCTTCACAAAGCCAGCATGCTAAGGTGAAAAACAAGACAGGACTGAAATAGGTGGAAAATATAGTAAGCATGAATGTGTAAATTCTCTCAGAGTTTTAAAAAAGCCAACAGCAACTACTCAGCTTTTATTTTGATAAACATGGGAAATTTAATCATCTATAATATCTATATCAACTCTTTAAAATGTGATTGTCTTACTCTACAAATATCTTGACAAAAACAAAGTTTTGAGAAAAACCTGCCTTCCTTTTGTAACCTCAGCTGCTTATTAAGTTTTTATCTCATTTCCAAATAAATCGTTTTAAGAACTCCTACATTCACCCTCAGCAACTGGCAAAGTTGAAGATGCTTTGTCCAAAACAAATGAAGAAACCATCCGTCATATTATTATTATTTCCCAAGTTGGGTATTGAGTGTGAAAGAAATGTGAAATTGAAATCTCAGTCTCTCCTTGTTTCCCTTACATCTCCTGGGAGGGATTGTGATTATGGCTGGCTGATAGTGGACACTTAGCTTCCAGAACATTACTGGGCTCCAGTTTTGGTACCAGAGTGATCTGCTTCGGGACTATTCAACTGAATAATTGGATGTAGTTGTACAAAGCATTTTCATTCTGTGACTGAAATGAACAGTGCATTGTCTGTTATCAGTTTCTCTGATAGCGAGTAGGATTTGGCCAGGATCATGTCATATTGTTGCTTTTCCAATAACAAAGCTGGCCACAAGTCCTGACATTAACAAAACACTAGCATTCATCCAAATTCTTTGGATGTAGTTTCACAAATGATATCGATATGTCAATAAAACGCTTTGGTCAAACATATTTTCTACTCATTAATATAATCAAATTACAATCATTCATCCCAGTTCTTTAGAAATTAACTGACTCAAAGTTACTGATATGGCTTTTGGTTTGACTTAAGACCCCCGCCTTGCACCATCGTGAAGGTTTACAGTAACATGTTTGTCCAGATACACTAAAATAATGGATTATCTGACTAATGTGAAATGAGATTGTTTATTCCTGCCTGAATTGAATCAACTCCATTCCTCTTTGGTCTAATGTCCACAGTCAGACTGCAGAGCCTACAGGTATTACTGAATGTTGAGCACATAATGACGCTTTGACATTTTCAAATCAGAGACCCTGCTGATATTATGACTAACCTAGACATAACAAAGGACACCTGTCTATTAAACCGTATATCAGAGGGTCAGAATGACGACATTCAAATCCACACAGATCATGTTGAGACCGTGAATGGTCTTATCACAAAATCAAGTCTAACATGAACTTTCTGAAACCCCATCACCCAGATTTGCCAGTTACTATGGAAACTAAATGCAGAACCCAAACATGGGACTGACACATTCAGAAATGCTGTTAACTTCTGAGAATTACCATCTCCACCCGCGTGAACTGTAAGTAACATTCAGTGAGTCAATCAACCAACCAAATTCCTTCACAGGAGCGATGTCATGTCTACTGCCTGGCCCAGTGCTTAACCCTGTCCCAGGAGAAAATAATTAGCAACAAAGATTCCTGTAAAAGACGGCAAGATATTGGTCAGTCATAAGCAAAGCAATGACTCTAAAGTTCCTGGTAAACAGTCATTGCTTCATTCAAATGGCAAACACTCAAGTTATTGCTTTGATAATGCTGGTGTCAGGACAAATGTTAGCACAAGCATAGATGGACAGAACAGAAAACCCCTCTGTCCCTCTATCTCACACACACACCTAAATCTAACCATATCCTACCCTTAAAACACATCTTTATGTTATTCCTTCTTGTCCCCATAAGGAAGACAAGTCCCCACAATGTGACTTTGTAAACAGATTTAGGTCCCCACAACATGAGTAATACCTGGACCACACACACACACACAGACAGACAGACACACCAAATGCCCTCCCACCCCTGTCCCCCTGCAGACAAAACGAGTCACTCCTGCCACTGTAACCGCTATCCGTCTTGTGTCCTCTCACAGGAATGTGCTTGGGCACACATAACACAAATTAAGTGTCTGTCCGCAGTGGAGATGTAATCAGCATTCCTGGATGCTGCACAGACGGGCTGACAAAGCCACAGTGGTCTTTGGCCGTCTACCCATTACTACCATTCCTTCATTCCATTTCACTCAGACTATAATAGGGGATTTGAGACATGGGGACATGCAGTAGAGGTATAAACAACACCAGTAGCTTTGCACACTAGTTTCCATAACAGGCCCAAAGAGGCTGCGGCAAGTCTTAGATGGCTGATTTTGCCCAAAGCAAGCTCTAAATTAAACTTTCTGAAGCTTGAAAGATTTAAAATTTGAAAATGATATGAACTCAATTTCACATATCAAATGTTAAAATATAGTCTGACAAGTCTCTGTACTGCCCATCTTATTTAATGTTGTCTGGGCAAAGATGAGAAAAGAGGGATGTGGAACAGAGGCTGGTCTTGTCTGGTGAAATTTCTTTGGGACCAGGGAGCTAGCAAGCCATCTAACAAATGAGAAACAGGTTTACACTCAGACACAAAGCAAAATAATATGAATTTGGACTTTGTCCTACAGAAAGGATGGGTATGAGAGAGA